TGATGGGACAAGCTTATAGTAAACACGGCTTGTACCAACCCAGGTTCATGACTATGTTCTGAGTATTAATGGATGACCACATGTGCTCATGGATGCAACATACATTACTGGCAACCGTATTCTGTACTAAAATATGAGGTGTTAAAATCAATTAAAAAAAAAATGTAATACAAAGACATAACAGCAGAAACCCTCCCCAGTAGCATGTCACCCTTGTCCGCTACAGCTTCCCCTCCCGTCTGATGGATCCTTCTCAGCAGCCTGGGGCCTTTGTGCTCCAATGGGGCATGGATGGAGATAACACGATTGTGTTCACGGTCCTTGTTGGACATGGTGAAGAGCAAGGATGGGAGGTTTGGGTGTGAAAAAATGTCTGACTCAAGGTTGTCCCTGCAGTGGAGGAGGTCCGGTTTTCCCCTCAGGCGAGCACTCAAGCGCTAACCGCGTCCTTCTCCTTCTTGTCACTGTCTTCATGCCAGGTGAGACGTTCCTCATAGAAGGCTATGACGATCTGTGGGCACTTATGATTGGCTTCCTTGGCAAGCACGAGATCCGCCTCATCAGAGTCTTTCCTGCAAGAAAAAAGATTGGTTGGAAAGTTGGATGTTACACCCCATTGTCTTAAAATATATGGCAAACCTTTCTCTGAGCTTATCAATCAAAGCAAGTGTATATTAATACAAAATGTTCTTACGCAAGCCTGTACCATATTGTAAATACATACTTTTTTTTGTCATTTCTGAAGATGTGAAATCCTGTGTCAACTCAATAACTTCAATAAAAAAAAATTATAAAATATCCCTGTGAAAGATTTAACATTTATTTTAAGAGACATGAGTATAAGGCTTGAATGAAACCAGCAATAACATTTCAGTAGTTTTAAAACTCAAGAGTCTGTTTTAATTTTGGGTATTTAACTTTCTATTTTGATACCGTCAAATAAATCGGCTTCTGGTAAAATGTCTTTAATAGAGGGATTGGGTTGTAAGTGGTAGTGCCATGTATTATTTGATTAACTTGTTTTAAAAAGTACTTGTCAAGTCATACTTTTTATAGCATGTATCACAGATGGAGCTTTTGAGTCGGTTTTTATATATAAAAAAAAATTCTAGGTATATTAAAAATAAAAAAACCTTAAAAATAATATGCCATGTAGTGTAAATTGTGCCTCCTTTTGAATCAGCAAACACCTTGGAATTAGCGTGACCGGGCATGAGTAACGAGGTACTACGAATATATCCATCTAGCTTATATGCAATGACATAAAATGTTATGGTGTGTCTTACTGTTTGTATATCAATGGACAGCTAGGCTATTAGTGCCGCTAATGGGTAATTTGTCAGCAGGAATCTGGCACATTGAGAGCAGCAGTTTAAAGGATCATGTAATGACAAGTCACAAACAGAAACTGTTGCAGAAACCCCGATTGTAGAACCGGGTCAACACCCAAAAACATGCTCATTTGTTAAAACCAATCTTTAATGTTCAGAGCCCCTACGATCATGCCCCGTGTGGTATATCAAACATGCAGAATACTAAGAAACGGATGCCAATGCTGGAGATAGAATCAGTACACATCTATCACATAAGCCCTCATCTTTCATAAAGAACGCGAGTCTGTAAAAACACACAAGCCACCATGAGTCTTGATGAATGTATCAATACTAGAAAAAAGTAACGCAATAACCTGCCGTTAAAAATTGTGCAATAGTTCATTAATTAGTACCGATACTGTAAGAAGGACAGTAAACGAAGATTTATCTCACATTGTCAACGGCTGCAGTGGCACATTACAGCGTCATGCTCTGTTCCTACCTTTCACAATAAAAGCTGACATATACAATGAATCAATGCGTACCAAGGGGAACTTAAAATTAATCAGAGCATTTTGTTAAGAGGCATCTCAACCAAATAGCTGACAGTACTGCTCACCATCATCTCTGCAAAGCATTAACCTTTCATAAGCAGCACTGTGTCGTGGCGGCTATTCAAATGTATGCAGACATTATAGTGAAATATTTCACTACTGTTTGTTATTGCTTCTTTTCACACCGTTCCTTGCATTGACAGTCATTATAAGCTGTTGTTTTGATTAATCAGGTTCTTGAAGAAGCATCGTTTAAGTATCGGTATAAGATACTTGAGACAGGTATTGCCCCGCTCTAAGCAAATGCGTGTTACAACCTCCTCTACTGTGTTTCATTCAGATTAAACTATGACCAGGACAACACTTGATGAACATCATTATTTTTTCCTCAAAGTCCGTTTACAAATCATTTGAACTATTAACATTTTAAGTCAATGGTCATCTTAAGTCCTTAGTAATAACACATTTTTCTTGATAACAATGCTGGTTTTAGTTATAACATTTCATACACCACTGGGCCAAAACTACATTGCACATGTACCTTTTGAAATGAACATAACAAAAACCTACCACTTCATAAGAAACATTAGGTCTCCACATGAGTCAGTTGCTCCAATAATCTTCTCCGGCTCGAGTCCTCTCTCAAAGCCACGGGCAACAAGGATGTCATCCTGAAAGACAACACAGCAGGTAAAAGGTTTTTATAAAATACATGACAAGCTAGAGTACATTACATTCATTAGACTGTAGACCACTTAAAAAGGGTTCGACGATTCTTTCAATCCCTGACTTGATTTTTAGCTCATGATTTGATTAAAACATGTTTGAGCCATAGGATCAACAGATAAGTGTCTTTATGCTCTATGGTATCAAGCTGATATATCCACTATGATTTTGGGAAGGGCCACACCAAGGCTAAATGGTCCAAAACTAAAAATGTAAACGAGCCACTAGACAATTATGTAAACTAAGTGTTAAGAGAGAGTTGTGTGAAAATGTACAGCATACACTGCTATGCTTTCATCTTATCAATGACAAAGCCCTCGTTGCAGCAACCAAAAGCCGGCAAATGGTCTGAATTTCTCACATGCAAATTATCTCTACAGAAACTGAATACTACCCCATAGATTAGTCGCCACATTACATACCTCCTTCGTCTTTTTGGGCTTGCTTCCCCCCTCCTCATCGTCATCAGAGCTTCTCTTCTTTGAGCTACTGGAGTCTTTGGAACGTCCCAAGGGGGATGTTGTGACTGATTTGTTTGTCGAAGTGCTGGATGACGAGCTTCCACCACTGCTGCCTTTCTTGTAGGTCTTCATGAATTCTGAAATGAGCTCAGGGCAGCCCAGGTTCTTCTCAGGCTCCCAGGTGTTGTGCTTTCTGAGGAAAAAAACAAACACAGTTCTGCAAGTCAGTACCAGTGCAAATACAACTCTTAATCTACAGCACTGATCAGAGATGAACAATATAAGAATATCAAAATGTATCTGAGATTTCCATAATTTTGTAAAGAATCTTCATTAGCATTTCCTGGTCTTTAGGGCAGCATTACAATGAGCACAGAATATAAGTGTTTGTGAATGTTGTATCTGACTCGAGAGGAAGTGAATGGCTCTTTAGGCTTGGCTAGTGATATACACCTTACTAACCATTAATGGACCTATTTTGTTTCTAGTTCCCAGAAATATCACAACAACTGTAACGTTTAATGTTAACGATTGCCCAGAACATTTTTCAAGATGTAAAGTTACTGGATAGCAGAAATGGCCATCTACTTACTCTGAATATCCTTTCCACTTCAGGAAGAATTCAACCCTGCCTTTCACCACCCTCCTGTCCAGCACCTTCTCCACAACATACTCTTCCTCATCAGAGGACGAGTCGTCGTCTTCGCGAGTCTTTTTGCCCATAGCAAAGTTTGTTGCTGAATGCTACGCTGTCGCAGGCCAGTGGCAACTCCCTGTATAGGAAAACGACAAAGAAACTAAAGTTAAAGAGAACATGGGTTTCCTAGCCGATACATTCCGTTTGTTCAACGTAAAGCACAAAGCAGGCACTAGCTAGTTAGCAACGAAAGGCATCATTTCATTGTCGTTTCAATCTGCAACGGGCATGACCAACTATACATGTTTACTGAACCCATTTGCTAGCTAATGACCTCTTGGTAAATGTACAATTGCTTAATATGTTAGATACATTTACCATAAATTGTAATATGTACACATAGCCTCGGTTAACCAATGGGCATTAAAGGCAAGCTTGCTTATGCAGTAACGTTAGCCTACAGGCTATCGCTTCAACAAGCTAACACTAGCTTAGGTTGATATAAAATCGTAAATGCATAACGATGCATGAAGCAGCATGCAGCAGTTCGATGTGTAAACACCTTCTTACCTTTGGCTGTGTAGACTGGTGGTGTTGAGCAGTTTAATTTGGCGATATCGTGTCTTTTGTGTACCTTCGTCTGAGAGGCCAACGCTGGTGCTACTTTAGCATGTAGCCTGGATCGCATTAATGGGGCTGTGCTTGTCTGTGCGTAGAAAAGCGCGCGTTAAAGGCGCACAATGAACGTACCCGCCCCTTGGTCAGCTGATGATGACCTATATTTGTCCAGCGAAAATAATGCTACCAGGATAAGAACTACATTTATTTCTAAAGAATATTTATTGTAAAACATGTGCATTGTGTGTCTCGTTAGAAAACACACGAGATTTCTAGGTGAAAAGCAGAGTGGGGTACGTGGAATCACTGATAAACACACAGTCTACCTCCACCCACAAATCTGAGATTTATTTAGGATTTGAGATGATTGGAGATCATTTAAAATGTGCTGCTTTTCTGTGCATTCCCTTATTCGTTCACACACTTGTTTGTGTGTCAATTATTACACAGCATCACGCACAAATGCAATATCTTATCATGTCACTTTCACATATTCCTGCACGCATACAACATCCATTTTGTATCGCCGTCGTGATGGGGAATGCACTCACTGCCTACTGTCATCTAATTCGTCGTGCTGGTGATTGATGTAATTTGGACCAATCGAGAATCAACACATGGTGACGACAGACTGCAGCGGGAAGTCCTGGCCAATGTGTGTGTGGAAGAGGTGTGTCCTTTGCTATTTATTCTACTTTTGAGAACACTCACTGTTGTACTCTTCTCTCACGCAGCTCACTCCTCTCCCGTCTGTCCACAAGGAGTCTTTAAGTATCACCTGCTGCAACAATGTCGAAAGATGTGAGTATTATACTATGGATGCAGTTTACTGTACGCTGATTCTAAAAACGTAAAATATTTGTGTTTGTTTAGATAGGCCTATTGCTATTCTCAGCGCAGCGCAGAATGCGTGTTTGTCAGAGCCACTGCAGCTATGCTTTGTAAAGCCGCCATTTTATAGCAGCTGGGCCTCGTGGGCTTTGTTCCTACGTGTATCTATGTTTGAATTTCCGGAATCTCAATAAACCCTTGGCTTCAGTAATATCGTATGAAAAGATAACTCATTACATTTACAAATGTGTCTTATGCATGCAATCGGAGGTAGAGTAATCAAAATAACCAGAGCGCTTCCCTAATGGCGGCGACGTCTCCCTTCTCCACCCTGTCCGGTTTAAAAAAAACGTGACGCAGAATTGATTAACAAACTATTCATCCATTGGTAATCGTATGAGCGATATATTGTGTCTGTTCATTTAATTGCACACAATGCTCATACTGACTAGGTGATTGTACGATGATGCTATTATCGTTGTCTATTGTGTGTAGGTACCACGCGAGCCAGAGCAGCTTCGCAAGCTGTTCATTGGAGGGCTGAGCTTCGAGACTACAGATGAAAGCCTGAGGGCTCATTTTGAGCAATGGGGGAGCCTTACAGACTGTGTGGTAAGGTTTCTCTTTAACCCCTTGGTATTGTTTGCTTTGTGTAACTGGAAATCATGCATATTTTGTGCAATACAGGGAATAATTGAAGTTGCTTTCTCTAGGTCATGAGGGACCCCAATTCCAAAAGGTCCAGGGGCTTTGGCTTTGTTACATACTCCTCCGTTGATGAGGTTGATGCTGCAATGACTGCCCGCCCCCACAAGGTTGATGGAAGAGTGGTTGAACCCAAACGGGCTGTTTCCAGAGAGGTATATTGGCTTTAAAATATGTATTTAAACCTGCCATGAGTATTTGACAACAGAGATCCATGTTTAATTACAATTGCACATTTCTTTCATCACAGGACTCAAACCGACCAGGAGCCCATGTGACCGTAAAAAAGATATTTGTTGGTGGCATCAAAGAAGACACAGAGGAGTCCCACTTGAGAGATTACTTTTCTCAGTTTGGCAAAATCGAGGTCATTGATATCATGACCGACCGTAACTCTGGAAAGAAGAGGGGCTTTGCCTTCGTGACGTTTGATGATCATGATTCAGTCGACAGGATTGTTAGTAAGTACAAGGTTTTCTGCCACATATTTATAGTCTCTTACCGAATGGTTTTGAGCGGCTACTTACTTTCCCTTTCACCCTACAGTCCAAAAATACCACACTATCAACTCTCACAACTGTGAAGTGAGGAAGGCTCTCACGAGGCAAGAGATGCAGACAGCAGGAATGGGTATGCGAGTACTTATTTTATTTTTTAAAGAATGAATTTAAGCCAGATTAATCAACTATCTTGTTTAAACGCTGGCACTGTTGATGCACTGAGCTAATGTTGTGGTTTGGTTTAGGTCGCAGCAGCAGCAGTGGAGGAGGCGGAGGTGGAAGGCCCTATGACTATGACAGAGGCTTCAGCCCGAGTAAGACTTTTAAAATGATAATACTTCATGTAGATTCATGTAAATTGACTCAAAAATATTGAGTATGATGTTTTTAAACCTGACTGTTACCCTAGGTGGTAGGGGTCGCTATGGTGATGGTCCTTACAATTCCAACGGTGGTGGTGGTGCCAACGATGGTGGTGGCGGCGGCGGCAGTGGGGGTGGTAAGTGGCAGTTGACTCAGCATATTCTTAAGCAATTGATGGATTTAAAGCTTGGCTTTGCTGAAATAATTTTTAATTTTTAGGATATGGAGGTGGGCCAGGCGGATACAACAATGGTGGAAACAGAGGGTATAACCAAGGAGGTTACAACCAGGGTGGTGGTGGTGGTGGTGGTGGTGGAGGAGGAGGAGGAGGAAGTGGAGGCGGTGGCTATGGAGGAAATGGTTATGACAGCAATGGCTATGGTAAGTGTTAACTAGACAGTATTACATTTGACATCTGTTCTGTCTTCAACATGTGTGTAACTGAATATTTGTTTTCCCTATAGGTAACTGTGGTGGTGGTGGTGGTGGTAGCGGAGGTGGAGGTGGCGGAAATAATTACAACAATATGGGCAACTACGACCCCCAGGCCTCCAACTTTGGCCCAATGAAGAACAACTTTGGTGGTGGCGGTGGCGGCGGCAGTGTTGGAGGAGGTGGAGGAGGAGGAGGAAGGAGCTTTGGCGGTAAGATAAAGAAAAGCAGATGGGAGGATGTATAATTGTTGGTCATAGTTTCTGTAGGCTAAGTTATCCTTTTTCTCTGCAGGTGGCTATGGAGGTGGCTCAAACAACGGTGGTGGATATGGTCGTTCGGCGCGATTCTGAATGTGAAGTGGTAGGTACTTGACAACATGCATGCACTATTCATTTTTGTAACATAAAACCAGAGTTTGTAGTGGCAGGGACTTGTTAAGTTTAGATAAACAGTATTAAAAAAAAAAAAATTAAAAATCACTCTGGATCTCAGGTTCTACAAAGTCAGTGCACAGTTAACAATGTTGTTCCGTATTGTTCAACAGGACTGAGTACTTAGGAGAGGAGAGGAGAGCAAGGAGAGGAGAGCAAGAGAAGTGACAGGGCAGCTGCAGGTTTACGTCCTAAATCTGCTCAGCCAAACAGTTGCGGCAGGTTACAGCTGCTGCAAGAAGAGATGTACAGTAGATAAATCATGGAGGGTCTTCATTTAAACGTTTTGTGTTTTTTTTTTTTTATCGAAATGTGTATCTGGAAAGCAAGCATTCCAATGAGATTTTATGTAGATTTCTTTTTGAGTCTGGTTTTATTTGTATCTGCAAATCAAGCTGAAATAAAGCATCTTTCAGTCTTTTTACAAAGTGTTGTTAGCCTCTTGAGTGGTCTGGGAAAGGGAGGGTTGACTATTACTGTACACTGTGGGATGAGGGACATCATTTGCATATGTGAGGAGCCAAGAAATATCCATGTGATGTGAGAAGACCTGCAATAGTAACTACATACACCATAAGTCAATGTGAAGGGAACATCTACAATTGTGGTTGAGGAATGAGGTGGTGCACAAAATACTTCATCATAAAGAGCCCATCACCTGGTACAGACTACCCTGAGTTCTGCAAAGATCAACTGGAGGATGCTAGCTTACATGCAAAGTCTTTGAGGCTAGTCATGGAAGCCAGCTGAGGGAGAGAAGTAGCAAAACCATCGCCAGGATCATTGAAGCAGGGGAGAGTGAGAACAGAAGCCTGAGGCTAGCATGCAGCAGCTACCAAAAGGCATAAGTGCTGTCTGTAGGTAAGACCAGACTTCTCAACTACTGATAGTATGTATTGCTATTGTGTAGCCGGTAGTAAGTTACGTAGCCCAGTAATGACAATATATTTGTGCAAAAAAAACTTTATTATGACTTCACCAATGTTGACTGGTAAACGTGGCCTTCTAATTGTGCAAAGAGGCCGTACAAATATGCATGCTGTGAACAACATTAATAACTTTTTTTTTCTTTGGTTGCCAGATTGTTATACTTAATTGGTATTTCTGCTTTATAGGAAACTCAACATGGTGTCCAAAACCCGATTCCATTTCTGTGACAATGGCTCAATTCAGGTACAAATCAGTCATTCATCAGAATCTTGCCCATTACTATTTTTAACGCTTGTATATTTATCTTTGATTTGTTCTTCACAGGCTTCCTGATCAATCATGCTGGAGACTTGTTTGTTTTTTTACACTGAAGACTGCTGTGCAGTGTTTTTAAATAAAGTATTTTTACAAGACACCTGTGTTTCAGTCATATGTAAGAACATGAAGTGTACAGTGATGCATATATGGCATGTTTTGTATGAATTTTTTTGTGACCTCCAGTCGGTTTGTATACTTTAAGTCTGCACAATAGGGAAGTATACTGTAAGGGTATTAACAAAATAATCAATCCCCAGTGCCTCAGCATTGCTCTCTTTGCTGCATGTTGGTGTGAGGTACCAGATACATCTTTCCCTCAGCTGTCTGTTGTAGGGCGTAGTCATCTACTGAGTATGGTTGTCCATTTTCATCTCTCAAGTGAGAAAACACCTCTGAATAAAGGTCTGTAAGGCGACATTTAATAAAAGCCAAGCTCCGCTGGAACTCGTGCCTCTCCTGTGCCAGGCGCTCTCTCTGACCATGCAGCTGGTTCAGTTCTCTTTCAAGGTGAATTATGCTCTGAAGCTTCCTTTTCCTGCAGTTCTGAGCTGCTACCTTGTTCTTCCCCCTTCGTCTAATATCTCTGACTAGTGCTAGTTGACTTTCTGTGAGGGTATAATGTGTTAGGAGCTCATTGAAGTCATCCACAGGTAGATTGATGATCTTCGCCATGGGGAAGGGGATCTTCAAAGACATAGCCCGCCGCTCATCTCTGCTCAGTGGTGCAGGAGTGGAGATACTTCCCTGTGATTTTCTGTACATGTTATGTTGGGAGCTCCCTCTGCTGGACACTCCAGAGTCTATGTACAGATCATTCAGTGCAGAGGCCTCTCCCTGCTGTTTTACTGGCTGTGGAATTGGAGCATTACCTTGTGTATGAGAGAGAGTGGGTTGGGTTGAGAAATAAGACTGATCACCTGATTGTAAATATGAGTGAGATTGGTTCTGGTAGTCCATTGGGTAATGGATGTGTGCTCTTCTGGCATGTTCAGCCACACGGTCTGCTTCAACATCACTATATGTCATGCCTATGTCAACACTCTGGTAACCTGATGCACCCCCAACGGGATTATCTGGGGAGGCCAAAGGTGGACTAGAGCCCAGAGACAGACCTGAGTCCGACTCAAGATCATCAGCTGAGCGGGCGTGCAAACTTTGTCCATGTGTAGTCCAAAGCATGTGCCGACGGAGATCCCGAGAGAGAGAAGTGTTTGCCCTCCTGTGCCCTTGACTGCTACCTGACATGTTCATTGGTTCTCTAAGAGCCATGTGCGAGGTCTGTGTGTAGGAAGAGATGGGGATCATTCTTTGATTGTGCGGAGGTTCAGGTCCATACATTGCCTCTGAATGGCTTCTGAGACGATGACAGGAGGGCACCTCTTCAGAATAACATCCATCATAAGTGTCAGCAGGGCCGAGCTCACAAGCAGCAGGAGGCGGCTCCGAATGGGACTGGGCCATCCCATATCCTCCCATAGGGACCATGGGCTCCATAGTTTGGTACTGTGTTGTTTCATAGGAGCCTTCACTGGGGGCTTGAAACTCCTGGAAAAAATAAATAATCAGCTTTATCGGTTATGACTTGTCAATTAGAAATTAATTAGCATATGACACAGTAACAGCATAAAATGATCAAAGGCAATTATAAGGAATTTTACAAATCAATAATGCAACACCATTTTTTGCATTTTATCTGGCTCAATATAGAGCACAGTTTGCCCCCACTTCAGCATGCCACCCATAGCCTATGAAGGCTTCATAGATGTGATCCGATTTCACCTGGAAACAGATGGCTATTGTACGGTGCAGGGGGCCACTAGGAACATACAGCACTTGCCCCCTCTCACAATCTCTTCATCCTACCATCACTCAAATGGGCCATTGTTACTTTCCCCAGCTGAGAGTATTCGTTTTTTAACAGTTAGCACCACATGAAAAGTGGAAAATATGTATTTATTCCAATAGAATTAAATATATATTTTGTTAAGTAATTATTCATTAGTGAGCCAGAACTGTTGTGTTTCAATCTCTTCTTTGAACATGAAACTGAGAATAACACATTATATTAATGGATAAATACCTTCTTATCTGCTGAGACTTTTGGGTTTTGAAAACAATCAATAATTATTATTATCCAAAGTGTCCTCATTTGCACATGGACCCCTTTTCTAACTCAGCATGGGGTATTGTGATAAGGTTACATATTTGGAACATCTGGGATAAAAAAAAAAAACAATGTAAAAAATAATAATTCTACCTGCATTTCTGTGATGGCCATCAGTTCCTGCCAAGCCACATCCATCTCTGTGTCCTGAGGAGCTCCATGAGACCTGGCTCCAGGGAAATTAGCTGACATGGACACTCCCCCACACAGCCTGCCTGGAGTAGCTAATACCTTGTAATAGAAAATAATATTGATTACCGTGTCTATTTTAAGATTTATTATGTGTTGTGGTGTTCCTCTTAAACAAACCTACCTCACAGGTTCTCCTCAGAGGGAGAACATAGTTGGCTGTTGAACACATTCAGGACAGACTCTAGCTGCTATAGATCAACCTGGTGAGGACAAAACAACAAGTTTAATTTCTGCTATTATACATACCCAGTAGCCTATGTTACACTAGAAGAAAGAAAGAAAAAACCCTTCTGCATATCGTTTAAAACCACTACCACACCTTTTTTTTTTTAAACATACGGTAAATAACATATGTAGATTTGTCGGTGCTTCACATAAATGACTGTTTGGGTGTTTTGTAGGTTTTTCGGAGCACACACAGGTTCGGTTTAGTTAAGTTGACTCCTCCCAACAGCTGTCCTGGCTGCAGCTATGCCGACTCCTGATAAGGCAATCTGCGGGAAAACAGCGCTCTCTACAAGACACACTGGGGCCTGATGGCTGCTTTGGAAAACTGTGGTGTCTGACAACATGTCTGCAGACTTCTTTAAACTCTTTTGGTAAAGCTTGACAGTAGCTGTTATTTTAAACTTGAACTTCCATTTGAGTATAAAAAAAGTATTTAAGGTTTTCAGCACATAAATAAACAGACTTAAACACCAACAGAGATGGTAACACTGTATTGAATAGATCCACTTCTCCAATGAACACCTACATACATACAGTACATTTATATTCATACTCACACATATACATGGCTTACAATGACTTGTACATCACCCACATACATGAAAAAAACCAACAGATAAGTTCTTGTTTTATCTATTATTTAGTGTTTTACCCGAATATGCCTGTTTGAATTTTAACCTGTAATAAGAAACCCATTCAGGGATGGGCCAAATGAGCTTCTTGCACATCTTTTTCGTTGTCTAGAACAAACATTTAATTCTCGAAGTTAACAGTCGAAAGGTCACTTAAGTAACTTGCCTATGTCATTCCAAATAACATGCTGATTATTTAAATAGATTTGAACTAATAGAAGTATTCCCATCAATAAATGCAAAATGTGCTCATCAAGTCCCGGGCTCAAGCTCAACTGACATAAATTCAAATGTACTTCTCGGTTTTGAAACAGCCGAGGGTGTGGTTGAAGGTACCTTTATAGTTAAAATTATCTGACATTTAAAAGGGATAAAACGTTTTTTTTAGAAAGCAATCAATGTCAGGTTAATTGGAGTGGTGTATCAAACAACAGGTGGTTCCATTCTGAGGTGTGCCGATTTACAGACTTGGTCCAATTCAATTTTGAAGAGACTTCAATGGTCTGGATCAATAAAATTGTAATAATATCTCAAATATATACATCCAGACATGTATACAAAATGTGGTACATTACAGTACATATTCAGGTATTTTTCATATATTTATTTTTTATTTTTTAATTCAAAATGTAGAATCTTATTTCCTTCTACCAATCTTCAACACAAACCATTTGCAATATTGCTTATTATTTTAGAGGAACTAGTGTTTAAGGCAATGTGATATAATTTACAATATTATAAATATCTTTTAATGTTTAGACATTGTGTGACATTGTTATATTTTAAATCCTGCATTGTGTTTGTGTTATGTTTCTAAAAGCTGTTTCTTTCTCATAATTCACAGTCAAAACTCAAACTTGTCCAGTCAGTATAAGAAGTACGTTTATTACACAGTGAGACAAAACATACCATTGATACAATCTATTTTGTGGAAATACATTTAACTGTGTCATTACATTAACTGTATCTTTTACAACTTAAATGCTTGGAAGCGTGAGCAACAATGTAATTACATTGTTTAGTAGCTCACTTTGTTATATGATGATATAATGAAACATTATCCGACACCTACTTTAATATATGGAAACAAAGTTTTACTTTTAAGTTGAAATGATGTAACCTTTAAGCTAGTTTTGCCTAATAAAAAGAAGAGATCTTAGAAAATAAGAAAAAGTTAGATGAGTATGAACATACCTTAGCAACATTCTCTGCTTCTTCAACAGGTGATGAGTCAAAAATAACTTCAGATGTGAAGCACAATCCTGGTGTTAAGAAGGAAAAAAAAATGAGTAAAAGGAGAAACTGTTCTTTTTTTCACATATGTCGTGATGTTGCTGACTTTTAACAGATCACAAGACGTAAAACACACGAGGCCTCTTGCTCTATCTCTTATTCAACTGTCTGTCTCTCTCTGTTCAGCTGCACTTACAGCCACCGGCATAAATGGGATGGCTCTATGCAGACAAAACGCAATCTTCCTGTAAAGCACCCACACCACAATTTTTTGCACTCTTGTATCCTTAATAGCACACTTGCACCCCAACCTCCAAATTTCCCTTTAGCCCACATGACAAACCACAAACCAACAGTCTGGCATACACCACGACAATCATTCTGTCAGTCCACACTGAGGTAGGTAGATGTTTACAAAAACAAACAAAAAGCTGTAAGCAATTTTAATTCTAATTATATTATGACAATACACACAAAACAATTACGTTAAACGCCCTAAAAGTGAGTGAAACTAGCAGGATTGTTGTCCCTGTCGTGGCCAAACCGTACAAGAACTGTGTCCTTTCAAATCCTCCAAAACGAAAGGTATGAGGAGTGTGATGTGGAGCACCTGGAGCCGGCATTGCACTGAGGGCCTTGTTCGAGCAGGGGTGGGTTTGAGGCAGGATTGAGACTTAGTTTAGCAGAGATGGAATGTACACCCTCCGACAGGTAAGAAAGACTACATTGTTCCTCTATCTGGCAGAGCAACCGCCAAGGGAGAGAGAGGAGCAGGGGGAGAATGGAGGGGAGCGTGTCTTACATAGCAAGTGACCATTAAAATCCCTCACAGAAAAATCCCCTCATTGCCCTGATCTGAAAAACTGTGAGCAGAGAACTCACAAAGACTATGTGTTATGGAGAACTGCTCTATTGTGCAACAGCTTTCACACAAACTGATAGTCGGAATGTTGCTTTTTTATTGTTTCATAGAACAATTTGTCGATAGAAAGCAGTCTGTCCCACAGTGATGATTTTGGAAGTTATCGGCATCACATCAAATATTCAAGATATTTCATGCACTGTAAAAGACCCCCTACTGTATACATTGTGACAACATAGCGGATAGATTTCATTTTTTAAAAGCGATTGTTGATTAAATCACTTGATGGACATGAAATACATGTATGTTAATTCAGCGTCTCTGTTGCTTTAACATAATGCTGCATACAAGGAACCGAACTCCATTTTCTAAAAAACGAAAGAAGCAAAAATAACGGCAGTGTGCAACAAAGGCAAGTAGTACATTCAGATTTGCTTCAAACAACACATAATTGCTTTTTATCAGAAATACAAAGCTGATAAAAACACATATGTCATCTTTAATAAACATACTTATGAAGTTCACTTAATGTGATTTACAGCATTATTCAACTTAATAATACAAATATAAATATTATACGATGGCCTTTTGAGACACTTACAGTGATAATTCACATACACACACATAAGATGAAAAGATAAATATGTTTCAGTACATTTATTCTGAACACTGACCAAAGCTTGACTTTTTTATTGTGAAATAATTATACATTTTAGGACTTGCAATAAACAAAACCGGAGTTACAGTAAGGCTTTCAGTAAGGCACTGTATATTAAAAAACCATGAGAACATGGAAGGTTTTGTCTGGCCCATTACAATATCACATCCCACAGACATAAATCTCAATGTTTTCTTTGTCATTGTTCTAAGATGGAAAAAGTAGGTGGCTGACATAGTCAAGAAAGGTGAATGTCTACCAGGAATCAAAGAAGGGACTTCCCAACCCAAGTTCCTAGCACCCAGCCCCTGACTCAACCACTGCCACAGCATGCCAAGAGCACCCTGTTATTACTGCAACCACAATGGTTTTGAATCTGGACACAGTTCCCAGGTCAACGCCCACTTTCCCTGTTTGTGTTTGTTTGCTTCAATTAGTCTTTGACATCTCTGCTTTCCAGCTTGCCTGAACCTCTCCACATTGTTAGACGTGTTCTTGCTGTAAACCCCCTTTGAATTATGTTTATAATCATTGAGTTTTATTAAGTCTATGTTATGCCAAATGAATGGTTAATTATGTTCGTCCTTTAAGTTGTTCCCTGCCTCCTCTGTGAGTCCTGGTGTTTCTGTGGCAGTTCATTTGTTAATCAAAGATGGAGGAGTGTGGCCTCTTTGGTTTTGTTTTAACATCCAGGAGGCTGTATCAGACATGAGCGAAAACCACCTCGCTTCTAAACAAAATGAATGTGTGCCTTGGGTTGTGGTATCAAAAAGGGAATTTTTTTGGAGTCAGCTTCTGGGAAAGTAAAAAAAAAAATAGAAAGGGCAGATGGAGTATTTTTGTCTTCTTACATTGATAAACTAACAAGTCAGTATCTTGATTGGAATTGTAAAAAATAAGATATTCTACTCATTTTCTATTGTTAATATTCAACCTTAATACAAACAACACTGCAAATTGGAGAAATACAAATGGTAACCTGTGCAATTGTTCATTGTGGTACTCAACTCTAAAGGGTTTGCAATTTGATCAGCTTACAGCATATAGGTGGACTGTTCAGCTAATATCTAGTTTCACATATTTGCCTGTCCTATTGTGAATGATTTTAAAGATGCGTAATGTAATTTGTACATTTTTGATCGTTTTCAATTAAGCAAATGCATAATTGCAACTGTAGATTCAAATATAAATGGGATTTATAGAAACCTTTTCATCGCTGTAAAGATGGCCACATATTATCACTACCTGAAAAAGGGCAAATGAGGAACCTAAATATGCAGCATCATTCTTCTGAATGTCTCAATACAGTCTGCCCTTATCTCAAGATGTTCAGATTAAGATAACGTTTGTAACAAAAGTACCTTATTTCTTAAGAGTTTTCAATATTTTCACATATAACTAGTGATGGAAAACACAATTACAAATAAAAATAGGTAAACAGTTTAATTAAACAGAAACAAGTGCTTTGTTTTTCTTGAAGAGATGTGTTTGTGTGCATGAGTGTTTATATGTAATTGCATATTTAGGAAATGTGTTCATAAGATTAAACATCAAGTCTTCTACAGACAGAGGGAAGGTAAGGAAAGGAGGATGTTGGTTGGCGGAAGCTCTGCTTAATGCTGATAAAAGAAGCACTTGGTTCTAAGGAAGGGAACTGCTAACTGCTGTGGTTGCTGACTGAGAGCAGCCCTATAACTTCATGTTATCTATTGCTACATTTCAAATGTATTTATAATTTTCATATTTGTGAGAAAAGTCCCTCAACGTATAGTTGCATATATTTTATACAACTAAAAGATATCAATAGTGTGGTTACATGTTTAAGCCAGCAGAATTACATATATCATTCTCTCATTGCATGTTCATTCATCTTTGAAGCAATCAAATAACTTTCATTCTGCCCATCTTCAACTCTGCCATCATAAACATCGTTTTGAATGATTTTAAATAGATATAAAGGTATGTTTGACTTCTAACATCTGGGAATCTTTTAACTCATAGGTTCAAGGCAGCATAATGTTTTATCTCCAGACCGGGTCATTTTGAAATCTTAGTGGTGGAATTGAGTAAACATGGTGCAGTATTGCAACATTTCATGGTGACCCGCAGTGGCATGTCAGAATAGTTATTTTTTGCGATACACTTTTTGGCAGTTATATAATAGCTGTACACCACTAGTTTTCAAAACATAGATATTCCAGTATTATTTCAAACTCAAGCCTCAGAAAATATTTTACAGTAAGGCCCAACAGTGATGTCATTTATGGAGTGAAATACAGGGAAATCCCCATCAGCCTGGGTTTCCATGCTTCCCAGAAGTGGGAACTAAGATAATTGGGGTTGGTTAAATGTAGGAGGATCCTGAAAAAAGATGTTGATGAGTACAAGCAAGCTAAAACGGCTTGTAACCTAAATGAGTTTTTCCCACATTTTTTTGTATGTTACCATGGAGTCCTATTTTTCAGTTTCCAAGTTTTTAATGGTACATAACACCCTGATAATTTGGTTTGATAACGATAACCATGGTAGAGATTTGAACTCTATATAGCCAAATATAGTTTCTTATGTGTTTGTAAAGTTACTTGAGAAATGTAATATCTTACAGCTGTAGTTACCCTTTAAATGTAACGGAACTAAAATGAACTACAGTTACAAGTAAAAGTAGTTGAATATAGCCATAAATGAATTAGGAATAGAATGTAGGAAGTGAAATAAAACATAAGATTTCTTGTGTGCCTAGTCGGCAGGACATTGCACCTACAGTGGTGTAATGTATTATTAAAATACATTTACTCAAGTACTGTACTTAAGTACAATTTTGGGGTACTTGTACTTTACTTAAGTATTGTATACTACGCATACTTATAGTCCGCTACATTGTAAAATCAAATATTGTACATTTTACTCTACTACATGTATTTAACACAATTAGTATAGTAACTTTACAGATTCAATTTCTTAAATACAAAATATAAATAAACTAATACATAAACTATATCAAGGTTCAAGGTTCAAGGTTCTTTATTGTCAATCTGAATACAAAATATAAATAAACTAATACATAAACTATATAATTATAGGTTAGGATATCCAGCAGCATTATATAAATTAATTAAATTAGCCCCACCTTTACCAGCTGTGATGAACACATTGATTCATGAATGATAACAATCCAATCATTTAATATGATTCTTAAATGGGACATTACACACAATAAGTCATTTTACTTTTGGTAGGCTACTATAAGTATATTTTTGATGCAAATACTTAAGTAGCCTACTTTTACTTAAGTAAGATTTTGTATACAGGATTGTTACTTAGGTGCAATATCTGAGTACTTCTTCCACCTCTCGTAGCCTAATACAATCTGAATTAAAGACCAGATAACTTTTATGTTTTACTTTCATGAAAAAAGGCTCACGGTTGGACAAAAGTAAGGTTCATGGAGATTTTACAATGTTTGACTTTATCTTAATTAAGGACTTAATCAGATTGCAACGTTTCCCAATCAAGGGATAATTGATCTTGTATTAATATACTTTCGTCAACATTAAGATGTAGCTTGTTTTATTTTCTGGCTCCACGCCCTGTACTGTATAATAATGCTCTTTGCCCTGTGTCCACAACTCAGGCTGTGCGTCAGCCAATCAGAAAGAGCCTCATTTACTGAACGTAATACGTAGCCGCAGCAGTAGTAGCTAGTAGCTTGCTAGCTGGTTAGCTTACAAGAAAGAAGATGGATTCTCCCATACTGGTAATGTTTGCGAATGTATTCATGTGTGACAGTGTATGTGTTATCCAAGCTTAAACTCATAACTATCTCACATACCCGCATGTTGTTGGTTTCAAAACGTGGCGATGTAAGGTAATTTAACTCGACAGGGAGCTAGCTTACTAAAGTAGTCGGTTTGGCTAACAAGCTAGCCAGTGAGAAGTTAGCTTCGGGTGTCTGTGTTTGTTGGTGATGTGGAAGTGTCATGTCTTCCTTTTTATATTCGCAAATAATCGGTTATTTGTATCAACTTGGTAACCCTGATCAGATAGCTTTCGTTTTATTCATCCATTGTTAACGCATACAAGGCTGACCAGTCGGAGTTTGATGTTACCAGATATTGTTTATTTCGAGAAATGTTTTATAATTACTGTCCCTTATTAATCATACTTGCGTTGAGCCATTGCATCATGTCTTCTATGTTAACAGGAACCATCCTTGTACACTGTCAAAGCCGTTCTGATTCTAGACAACGATGGAGACAGGCTTTATGCAAAGGTATGAAGTTGTTCAACAAAATGACCCTCATTAGTTTAACTTTACTTTAGCATTTTCTTGGTGAACTTCTAATTTCTTGGGCCAACTGTAATATAGGATACACATGGTGATATTCATGGTGATGTATCAAAGCATGTTTGTCTATAAATAACTGTATATATTGAATTATCTAATGTGAAAATGTATTTATTTTGTTCTAGATGCTCCTTTAAATATTGATTTTGCAACTCGTAAGTTGTATATAGGGTTTTCAAAGCTTCTGAAAATTCCGTGGGAGCTTAGGAAGTGTTAACATTTTAAACTATGAAAAAATGTTTTATAAATACGAAAGGAAAAATACAGATAAAAACACAATACTGAATGCAGTACTAAAGAAAACAAATTGAACCTTGCAACCAACAATGTAATTACCCTATCAATGATCAAATATCCTTTTTTTCTCTTCGAAACACCTCAAGTTTTTTCTAAAACTAGTAAAAACACATCAGAGAACCACGCTGGTAAAAAGTAATATATTCCTTAATTATCTTCAAAAGAAGCACTGCACTTTATTTTAAGGAAAATATTAAATATCTCCAGCCTTATCATTTTAATCAAAATTCCACCTTGTTAAATTGGGCTTTGGGTTATAGATTTACATCATCAGCATATAATAACGTATTCTTTTAACATCTATCTACAGTATTATGATGATACATACCCGACAGCGAAGGAGCAGAAGGCGTTTGAGAAGAACATATTCAACAAAACACACAGGACGGACAGTAAGAAATCTTCACTACACTGCAGGCTGTCACTTTCCTGACTCAGAACATGTCTATTACAATGCGTTGTTGCTTTTTGTGTGTCTATAGGTGAAATAGCATTACTCGAGGGCCTCACTGTTGTCTACAAGAGCAACATAGACCTCTTCTTCTATGTGATCGGAAGTTCACATGAAAATGAGGTAAGCATTATTTTTAAGATTTTATAATGAATTATTATTATTATTGAGTAAGATTCGTAACCCAAATAATGAACAATGTCACAGAAAGCCAAACCTAGCAAAAGTGTTAGTATTCCCTTAATATTTCTGAGAACTGGGGTGTTTTTTTAAACGTATGACATGAAACAAAAATGTGTGACAATAATAGTTTCCCAAATGTTATATGATACTACAGAGCTGTAACCGGCTTGAGCAGTCATTTATAATGACTCATCATTTTACACGGCCCAATCTCTAGTTTACATTTTTCTGTCAGTCAGTCTTTTCTCATTTTGGTGACAAGATGTGTTGAATAGCCTGCCGAGTTAAAGTACTCTTACGCTGTACTTTTACTTCGTGTCACTTATAGTTTATTCCATTTTATTTGTTGTGTTTTCACCACAACATTTATGTGAAACAACAGATGCATGTTCAGATAAAAAAAGAAATAATGGATACGCTGTTTTTCTCAACCACACAATGGCTAGTTTACATTTTATCAGAGATGTTATGGCTTTGACTTGATGAGCACATTTAATTTATTGGTATTGCCCCTGGTCTGATTTTTTTTGATGATCATGTGCATATTAATATTGAGGCTAAAAGTGCATGTTGCTATAAATAATCTGTGTAAATGTAAAATAAGCTGTCTTTGGTTGGGGTTCACTCATTTTTTATTTTACAAAAGTCTGCAATACAAATAAGTTAATTTGTTATAAAATACGTCATTTATTTGTAGCCACAGTAATAGAGTACAGATGGAAACCAAGTTTCGCTTAAGTAGAAAATGAAAGAAATATTGTGCCTTGAGGTCCAAAGAAATTATAGTGAAAACCATCAAATATGATTACACACATGATATCTTTTGAGTGTGTTTTCTTTCTAGATGATAAAAAAACAATGTGCGCTGATAAGAGATTAACAACATCTAAAATTTTCTTTTATTCTCAACAGCTTATGCTCATGGCTGTTCTAAACTGCCTCTTTGATTCGCTCAGTCAGATGTTGAGGTACGTTTCGGCAGCTGTTATTTATCCTTAATCTCTTCAGCAGAACTTTTTTGCTATAAATCTTTGTCTAATGTCTAGAAAGTTATTCTTGACATGCATGTTTTTGTGTAAATTTGCAGAAAGAACGTTGAAAGGAGGGCCTTGTTGGAGAATATGGAGGGCCTCTTCCTGGCTGTGGATGAAATTGTAGATGGAGGGTATGTGCGAATTGAACGGCTTGAGACTTTTGATGCCAAGCCTTGTTAAAAAGACAACAGCATTTTCACTCTTTGATTACTAATTGTTGGTCTGTCTCTCTGCTGCCTCCTGCAGGGTGATCCTAGAGAGTGACCCACAGCAAGTTGTGCACCGTGTGGCTCTCAGAGTAAGCTCCTCTTCTCTCAGAAATATTCCAAAAAGTTTGATCTTGGTTGTGCTGGAAGTAAACATAATATAAATGTGCCTGTAGGGGGATGATGTGCCTTTGACCGAGCAGACAGTCACCCAGGTGAGAAAGACATTCCTTGCTCCTCTCTCTGCTATAATGTTGAAAAGCTCCATTAGTGTATTGACCGTTAAAGCTCATTACATCAGAACCTTGTTCTCGTCATTCTCCTCTACTTCTACTTTGTCCCGTGCCTCGAGGTGTCACACGCTCTGTTATCTTCTATGCAAAACAGTGTACATGCTTACTAATTATTCAGCGTTAAAGTATTGGTTACCCTCGGAGGTTCCTGTCTTTCAGTTTTTACACGAGTCTGCCTGCGTGTTAGTGTCTTGATTAATGTTGTCATTTAAGAGGCCTGAGACCGGCTACCACCATCCCTCCTCCGGCCGTGATTAATGGCTGTCCCCAATCCCCGTTCTTTATGGTTATGATTCGGTTTTCATTCAACGAATTAGGATGATTAATTAGGTCTTTCATATTTCTCTTCATTTACATTACTCGTTCATCATTCTTTATCCTGTTTTTTTAATAATGCTATATACATATTTTTATCATTCTTCCTTTTTTACCTCTCCAACAAGATGCCATTCATTCTATTTTCTGTGTATTTGATACACTTTTCTGGGTTATCTAACACTGCAGCCATTATTATAATGTCCAGTACAGTTACATTTTCTTGTTGGAGATATCTGCTTGGTCAAACCTAGTTTTCGTCTACAGGTTCTTCAGTCTGCCAAAGAACAGATCAAGTGGTCTCTTCTACGGTAGAGCCCCCGCTGCACCGGTCGACAAAATGAGCCGCTGTACGGTCCAGTCTTTGTGGCACTGATCTGCATTCTCCTTCTCATTTCCACTCCTGAAATCAAAGCTGTGAGGAGTACCACTGGCTGATCCAGTCACACTCCCAGGACTACTGCTCAATTCTTTCCTTTATTCTATTTTACAGGCATTGTGTAACATGAGGATAAGATATGTTGTACATTCCATTACAAAGACTGTTGTGTTTGTTTTTGCAATACAGAATATGGTTGTTTATACCATCTGTCTATAAACATTGATAAACCTCATCATAGCCTGTGGTAACATTCCTCGAGTCTTCTTACACCAGAATTGTCTCCCGTTTGACAGCACCCGGTCATCTTACTGTACAAAGTATTGAGGCACTATCTTGACATTTAATCCACATGAATATTGTGATTGAAAGTGTAAAACTAGTACTGTAGTTATACCGATGATCACAGAGGTCTGTTTTGAATCTGTTTCGTCCGGGGATCTTCCATTCATCAGATATACATAATAAATGTTTGTTGACACTGATGTGTGAACAGGTTTGATGTCTAACATTACCCTTTGTCTGTGCATTCTTCGTAATTGTTTTAATGAATGTGTAATTGTTGTGAACTGTAGACTAGCTCTCTGTGTGGATGTGGTTTTTCATACTTTTTATGTGTATAGAAGTAGTACAAAATGGTATTTCCTTATTTCAGAGCTGCCATGCTGTCTGCTCTTTGTTCTTCAGGGCCACAGCGAGAGCCAGAGCCACTAGAGCAAGGGCTCCACCTCCTGGCGTCTGCAGCAAAGTGCCAGGCTGAGGGACATAAATACTGTAGACAAGAAGGTAGAGAGGGGAGGGGACTCATTCATGCCGCTATGATCAGGAGCTTCCTCCGTGCTGTGTTGCTGTGACATGCAGATAGTTTTATGGAGTCATACTTGATTCATTTCTGCTCTGTGGAGACATACTGTGCAACATGAATTGTGTGCTTCAATGTATGCACCCCCACCTTCACACACTAACCTCATACTCCATTGTAATGCAGATGAAGGTTACACATGAGAGAGAAATAGATGCAGGAAAGGCCAATACATCATGTTGGTACCTGATGCATATTACAGGAGAAGAAAAGATCCGTATGCACTCTTCTATCTAGTTACCCACGTATGTTATGATGATCACATGAAGGTATTTCGTGTCAGGAGAGATTTGTGTTAGGGCGCAAATAGATTCAACCATGCTTAATACAGACCATATTAGGGAGCTGGTATTGTTACATCCTCCATGTTAAATCAGACCCCACCCCCTATTGTACTCGGCATGCTGGGACTAGTCAAGACAGCCCGAGTCAAAGGTCACTTAGCTGCTGTTTGTAGCCTTTTTTTAAACTGGTCTGTATAACGCATTTGCCTTTTTATCTTTCTTCATCATACAGCAAATCAGATAAATGAATGCTCTTGATGTAGAGATGTCTATGGCCTGCAGCAGTTTGTGGAAAGGATCACAAGGAGCGGTAATGTCAGATTACAGAATGTAAATTGGAGCATTTTGCGCCTCTTCCACGGGCAAATAATCAGTTAAATCTTGCGGTTATAGCACCCTCAGGGAAATTGGATAGGATCTGCTTATCTCAATCCCAAAATGTAGGACAGAAAACAGCACACAGGGAGGTATTGTAATGCACAGAATAACTGCATTGTAATGTGCACATACTGTAAGGTTCGTGGAGTATTTATTTTCTAAGGAAATTACATTTGAGTTATTCAGAGACAGATGACTTAATTGGTTTCAGCTCAACATTACGGTACATTATACAACTAATAAATAGCTTTCTGTATGTTATGTATCAATCACAGTTAACTGCTTGCAGACAGCAGTTGATGTAAAACAGCCCAACATAATGTGTGTGTGGTTGTGCCAGATGCATGTGGGTTGATGTTTTCACATAACAGAGAGGAGTGTAGTCAATGAAACTGTTATTGTCTCTGACCTGTGGACCTTTTGTCTTGGCTTTGCTCCAGTTTGATTCAGCCCTTGAATCTGTGGCTCTTTATGGCTACAGAGATAGCATGAATGGAAGCCATGTTGATGTTACTTTCCAAGTGTTTTACTGGAGAAAGAGCAGTAAGAAAGGGTAAGGTAATCATTATAAATGGACTCCATTATCGCACCAGTTTACTGTTATCGCACCAGTTTGCTGGTATAATGAGGACAGCTTCTGTCTCGGTGTGTGGTTTCAGTGAGGGAGGGGAAACATGAAGGTTAAAGAGGACGAGGTTAGTAGAAGTAGACGGCAGTAAATGTGATTAGACGAGATCCCAGGGAGGGCACGGCGGAAAAAAGAGAGGGTTATAACAGATCCCACCCAAGGTGCCTGACCAGACCCTCACTTTTAATCTAAAATAGCCCTGCAGCACCATCGGGGGCGCAGTCGCTTGCTTTCATCCACTAATTACAGTTGCCCCATCATAAAAAAACAGCAAGGTAATTGATATTAATTATACAGGCATGAGTATAACAGTTTAAAACGCCATGGCTTGACATGCTGTACATAACATGCAGTAAAATTGTCAGAGACGTGTGGGCTAGAGCCTTGTAATTGATCGATGCATACAGTGAAAGAGTCGCTCTCTTTCTCTTGTGTGTATGTGTGCGAGTGGACTGTGTGAATTAGAGTCAATAAATTATCATCATCTGTAAGCTTACAGAGTCTTTATGTCATAGTCAATGGGCCTGAGCACCCATCCAATGGCTTGCCCTGCTAAAGAGAAACAACACTAGGGAAAACAATGACAGCATGTTGGATGCACCGCAGTAAACGTATTAAAGGAAGTGTCATTATATCGTCTGAGCAGGACAAAGGCCAAGACCCACATGATGTTTAATGACCTAGTGTATTAAAATTAACAAGGCCATTTTACTTCTACTGCTTTCTCGTTTCTAGCCAGAAAACATTACCATCATGATACATACAATCTGGAAGGAAAATACCTGAATTGGGAAATCCTCCTATCCGTTGTTTATTGATGCATTTACTCAGTCAAAAAAAAATAATACGCCACCCTTTATATCCGCAAAATCATTGTAAACATTTGAAATAGGTCATTAAAGGCTGCTCAAAGCACATATGATTGTGTGTGTGTGCAGAGAAGGAGGTACGGGCCTGCTCCCCTCGGCAGCCTGACGTGCTTTATGGCCCCAGTTGCCCTCTCTGGGTGTGTTAATGGATTCCCATAGAACGGAGAATCATGGCCACCCCAGGAAAATCCAGCCAAAAACAACACCACCACCATTGCTCTCTTGCCTGCCTTTGCCGTAACTCAACACGCTGTTTATGTTTCTGACCAAGGAAAAAAAAATTCATAGTAATGACATAAGATGACTATAAATTCTGATGCTAATGTTTAATTTTTTTTGTTGATGTAAGATAAAAATGTCACCGCAGATGTGGCTGGTTTATTGGATGTCGTTACAGATTGGTGAAAAAATAGTGGGCTTTGTTAAGGAAAATATTTCTTCTTTGGTTTGGATCAGCTTTGCCAGTAATTTTATGATACCTTTAAGATTTATGACATGAAAATGTTCAACATTGATAGGATAATGAAAGTGCGCCACCAAGGGCATTGTTAATCGAGAAAATATTCTACTTGATGTGATTTCCCTCTGCTGTTTTCCTCCAGTTTTCTTGTGCCATTGCAGTGCATCACTCTGTGAAGAAGAGGGATAGTGCAAGCTTCTGGATGTGAAAATGTGGAATTGGTTAGATGCAGCAGGACTATTTTGTGTTTCTTTGGGGTTAGATGGCAAAAGAAATCCTGCAGCGTCGAGGCTCAGGTTTGCTGAGAGCTAACTCCATCATCCTCTGTAGCTGCACATCTGGTTTGCGGATGGGCTCGACTGGACTCTGCCTGTAATCCAGAAGGCAGCGTGTAGCCGGGCGCCGGCTGCTGCTGCTACTGATGGTGCTTTGTCATGACAGACAGAGGTTACTCGGTTACGGCTGTAATCAAAGAGTCAACACCAAGTTTTGGTTTCGCAGTGATGCAAAAGAAGCACTAAAGAATGGCCATCTATCATTTTCACTGTATACAGTCAACATTAGACACTGTGCTGGCAGTAAAGCTTTATGAGCGTTTCTGCTGGTGGTATTCCACTGCCACAGCATCCATGAGGGAAACATATTGTCTGCTTCTCCTTTTTTTTCTGGCCACGTTTAGTCTTGTTTTGCTAAAAAAAAAAAAATCTCTGAAAGCCATTTACTGTTTTATTTCGGTTTGTGTGTGAAGGTTTGCAGCAGGACCGAAGGATGTACAGAAAAGCATTTTGTGGTGCAAAGATCTGAACCCCATATTTGCTCCCTCCTCCCTCTGTCTTCTAGTCTTTCTCACTTTCTCCCCTCCCTCCCCATGGATTCCCCAACCACACCACAACACCGTTAACAGACGCGGCCCTGACAGATTTACTGCCATCGTCTTTCCATTGGCCGCCAGGATGACAGCAAAGATTTAATGCCGCCTTCTCATTGGCCAAGACTTGGCAGGTTAATTTATAGGTGCACTGTGATTTGATGCCTTCTGCCTTTGAAGTGAGTTACAGCTCTGTCGCTTATAGGACACAGAAACGGTGTCAGGTTGCAATCGTAAAACCTTATCCCTGAAGGGAGGTGCGCTGGAGTATAATAGTCCTGACGTCATGAGAGAAGAGACCTTCTTGTGAGCAAAGAGGAAGAACAGAGAAATGTGGGATACATTAAAATGCTAAGTGTCCAAGAAAAGGCTTTAAATAGGTCAAAACATATTCTGCTAATGCCAGAAAGAGAAACTCAGTAATGTTGCAAAGAGAGAGAAATGGGAAAGTGCGATTGTGCACGTCTGCATGCATTCAGTCACATCTTGCCTGGGATTTTAGGTATTTATAATTGCACGGGAATGTGCATTTGTCTTCTCCTCTCATTCCACATCTCTAACGTTCTGCAGGTTTTCGCTTGACTTTAGGGTCAGAAGATCCTAAGTGACAGAGTAAATCATGCGTATATCTCAAAGCTGATCAACAGCAGCAAACTGCCAAAGTCACTTTGGCGTCTGACTGTATCCACTCACTGCAGCCCCGGTGTTCGTGCAACGCCATCATCTATCTGCAGCATATCTCTTCATCAGCCTGAGAGTTTATCCTGACAAGATCAAGAAGAGCGAGAGCGTGGCCCTGTAACAGCCTTGACCCATGGAAATCTCTAAGGGTAAAAAGCATGGCCGCCCCTGCCCTGTCTATCAACCCCCAGTGAATTCATGCTCCGTTTCCCTTGGATATCAAATCCCTCTCTTTACTCTTTCACTTCACACTTGAGGTCGTCTGCTCAAGTGGAAAATTGTCGGAAAATAAAGAGACAGAAGAAAGCCATGGACTTGCCTTGTCAAGTGGGATTGCATAATTTCACCAGAGACCTTCTCTTGAACTTGATAACTTGGGGTTACACACATGCCTTCTGACAAAGTACCATGTAAGAGAAAGAAAACAGGTTTTACATCCTTAAGAGATACGATCCTTCTGAACTCAGGGGAATGATTGATAGTTCGGCGGTGTGTTTGAAGAGGTTGAGACAATTATACGTGGATGGAGTTAACCATTTCAGTGAGGTTTTTTCTGTTAAAACATGCTCTGTTTGTTTACCTTTTTCTGCTGCCCTGTTGTTTGTAGTATTAAAAAAAAAAAGAATGCCCTAGTTCTTTTACCCAATCTGCAGCTTTGCGGTAACTAAACATGTTAATTTAGATAAATGTTTAGAGGAAAGGAATTGAGAGAAACAAATGGGTTTTAATATCAACTCTCCCAATATTGGTGTATTTCATGAAACATAACAATTCTTGGCTAGAAAAATGTTCCCCAGTGGAGTGCAGCGCTGCCAGCCCCTCCGAAGCCCAATAAGGACTCTTGTTGTGGCCGGTTGGTTGTTCCCTAGAGAGGCAGCTCAGTCCAAAACATGTTTCAACAAGATGTAGATTAATAGAGAGGCGTAAGGCCAAGGCATGTTAATGTATCTGTCGAGGCTCAACGCACCTCCTGTTGGAAAGTGATTTTTACACAGTCGGCAGGGCGCCGGCCTGTCCTTCCTGTCAAGGGAATGTGGATTACTCTGTGGCCAAATAAATCTCATCAACAAGGTCCTGCACAACTGAACTTGATCTTTGTAAATGTATCTGCAGAATGGAGACCTTTACCAAAGCTGTTCATTGTAGACCTGGAAGCCCTCATACTCAGCAGCGTTTAGGCTTCCTCTCTTTGTGAGTGCTAGGTAGTATTTAACTGAGGCAGAAATGTAGTGTTTGATATATTTGTGAACTGGCAGTCCAGTGTGGATTATTGCACATCAGAAACTCAACCATCAGTACACATCATGAACCTGAACTATGGAATTTGGCCCTTATATATTTATCAAATGATGACAATAGGTGCCATTCGTCACACATTAAAAGGTTTAAGTCTTCTTTGTACCTCCCCATTCCCCCTAACCAGTTGTCACCTGCTCTCAAATCTCTTCACTCCATGCCTGTGATTGATCTACATTGCAAACAATACATTTGAAAGATTTAGGTTGCAAATTCTGCATTGACTCGAGATTAATTTACATGTATGAATATTCATGATTTGAATGTATCAAAACACGCAAGTAGGCCAAACTTTATTTTTCCCTTGTTTCTAGTCACATGGGTAACAGCTTTCACTTATTTTCTCCTTTGTGATTTAGTCTGTTGTACTGGGAATAATATGCAGAGGCTCGTCCATCTTGTTGAGTTACACTAATTAGAGTCGCAGTGGCAGAAATCTGAATATGGGAGAGTTTGAAACACGATGTGACAGGAAATTCCCCGTCAGAGATGTTTTGTAACGCAGTTGGCTGGAAGACATCCCATCCGTAATTTCCATATTTACTAGAGTTTGGTACCACTAATAGTAGTACCCTGGGATCCTTTGGACGCTCTGTATACACCAGCTTTTGTTAACACTTTGGAGGCCATTTTATATTGATGTTAAATGTCTGCTTTTTGCTGACGACCTTGGCTTATCAAGCAAATCTCTAATAACATATACGCTTTCATACTGTTACAGGATGCCTTTTAGTTGTGAGGCAGACCAGGGTTCAGCTACATACACAATTTATTTCTGTATTATAGCCTGCAGTATTAGAACCTATTAAAATATTTGGTCATCATTAATAAGTAATGCATGAACACTTTTATTGCCCATTGTTTGACGATGACTTTAGATTTGTGGCATATACTTTCCTAAGCAGTTATTGAGGAAGCGTGATAAGTCAAATTTATATTTGTACATTTATGCTGACCTAGTTGGGTTAACATAAAATGCATGTTAAAGAAACAGTGAGGGCACCAACACGAAGATATTCCCGGTTAATTCATGATTCCTCACCTTTCTGTTTTCACATAGAGAAAACAGCTATTGTGTTCTCATTTTTTGTCAAGTCTCCACTGCCTCTTACTATGCACACTTAATCTGTTCCTCAGTGTGAATGTTGGAGGACGTGTTCACTGATGTGTCCAGGAAAATGGGAGTAACCTGGAAAGAGGAATTGAAATTTTAATGACGAGCATCACCACCACCACCACCACCACGCTGACGGCCATGGAACACCTCAGACAGCTTAAATACCACCGCTAATTAACACAGAGAGGTGGGCTGTCACAGGCATGATGGATGTTCCAGGGGGGGGGGGGGGCAGATCGCTGCTCTCAACCAACCAGCGCTTCCTTTATTAATCAAAGCCTGAGATGAAAGGCTCTCCCACACCTCGGGGAGAGGGAGATAGCAGGAGCTATTGTTGGGAGGGTTTCAATCATGCGCCATGAGCCTGTTATGTATTTGATCAGGGGGCATCCAAACATTTGTACGAGACACAACGTCGCTGCTGCTAGGCGCTTGTTTTTGTAAACCTCTGAACCACCCACATGTTTACACCGTCACCTGAGATTTACTAGTTGTTAGGTACATTTCTGTTTGGAGATCTTCTCATTTTATCCCTGTGACAGAGGTGAGCTTGTAGAGCGTTGGCTATCACTCCTCCTCCCTGATGGAGAACGCCAGTCTGAGCACACGGCAGCACTCCTACACTTTACCTCTGGACTGACTCCATGATCAGTCTGTCTCGGAGAGATGATTTCAAACCTAGATGATTTCAGCACTTTGTGTATGAAGATGGAGTGTTATCTCCCCCTCTCTGGTCGCCTCGCCATCTACCTCACTTAAGAAGGTCCATTGTTAAGTGCCAGGGGCCTGTGGGTGCTGTAAATCAGACTGCAGAGGGAGGGGATGTCTCCCATGGGGGAAGGCACACACTCCCAGCAGCCTTCGGGCTGATCTCATCCTGCCTATCCTAATGCTTTAATTAAGGAACTGGTCAATAGCAAAGAAGAAGGTGCTAAAGGGTATGATCTGCACTTCCTAACGCAGGACTGATGTGGCAATACCTACGCAGACAGAATGACAGGCCAATGTAAATTCTTTCCTCCTCTCTGAAGAATGTGGGTATCAGCTATCACCACACAGACGGTTATGACTGTTTAATCACCCAGTTTGACATTGATACTTCTTACCTGCAGCATCTATAACAAATCATATTTCTCTGAACAAGACTGACTGCGGTATTTATTTTTAGCAATAAGTTTGGATTTACAAACTCATCATTTGTGTCTGTTTTGACCTAAACTGCTTTTATGTTTCTATGAAAACTCAGATCTGGCTCATGTATTTTCAACCAGCTCCAGGCCATGTTACTATCAGGGATTGGCTCGTGTTAGATGTGCATTGATCATCTGCTGTCTCAGAACAAGTGCCATGGGTATCTTAATGTCTTGAGGAACATTGTTAGCAGACATTAGCTAAGGGTACACCTCCCTCTTGTGGTGCAGACAAGGATCTGTTAAAGTGACTGTGTTGCAATGCATAGTTGTGCAAGTTGGTAATTGTAGGTGATTGATAATAATGAATCACTAACTATTTGTATTACTTGTTATAACTATCTTATCAACCTAAACAACTGCTATTTTATCAAACTGAGGATTTGCATCTAATTACTGAAATTGTTTTTTGAAGAATGATCCAAAAAAGGGAATGAGAGGTAGATTTGATGAATAGATCTAATAGGTGAGAGTAGTTAGTAGATTTAAACAGGCTGATGTTGCAGCCTCATCTCATACAGTTTATAATGATTAATTGTCTCGTAATCCTTACCCAAAATTGTGTATATATGTATGATGCCATGTTTTTGGTAGTCTCCTTGGAGATCAATTTTCTTTTGTCTAAAACGTTGTATTCAAGCCAGAATAATGTGGAGACAGGAGTAGATTACATTACATTTTCTCACTCCATGACGAGTTGTTACCCAGGGTATTCTGTGAAAATGTTCCATACTGTAAATATAGAAAGACATTTAGTTGTGGTTACTCATCATCACTCTTCTAGAGAAATTGGACCGCACATGATCACGGATGCCATCTGCTGACAAGATTGGTGCATTACATATTTCTGAAAATGTAGGCTGAAACATTCAGGAAGTAATGTGATATTTGATGACAAGTAACTTTGTGTATTATATTATGTTGACATAAGTGAAAGAAAATTGACATCTGTTTAAAAAGTGTAACAGCTTTATTAAGACTTGAGGCCCTAAAACTCCGTTCACTACAGTATGATAGACTGAGTCAAAATTGATTTCAATTCACCCCTGAAATGAGAAAAGAAGTGGGGCTTAAATTAAAAAATATATCTTTACTAAAACAAATTGTATACAATATCCTCCAACAAATACATGCAAAAGAAAGAAAAATGTTGACTAATCATGGCTGCTATACTAAAGAAATTAAAAAATGGCAGCTTTTACTTTACACCTAACAGCAAGTTGAAGGATGTCTTGCCATTTTTCACAAGGAATCATCAGACTAAGGATTATAACTTTGTAAATACTTTGATTTTCTTTTGAAATGTAGGTCCCATACATACAATTTTCTACCCCTAATACATTTTAAATATATATTAACTTCATAAAAAGTAGACAAGTCAGTGATGGGGCCCCAAAGTCCTTTCACATTATCTAAACATCTGGCAGTCTGGAAGTACCAGTCTAAATACAATCCTCTACAACCCAGCTAACATCTTCTGTCCAGTGTTTTCAGTCAGATTCTCTCACCCAGAGGCCTGAAGATAATATAATGTAAGTCATCATTGGACGAAACACTGCGTGGCCCCTCTGCTCATCATCTTCATTGAAGATGCTCAAGGTTAAACTGGAGATGAAGTGACACGCACTGTAGATCACATTCAGTCAGGTCAAGACAGAGGTGAGATTTCAAATCTATGGATGAACCACGTTACGTTATCAACTGTTTGAATTGTTTTCTGGATTATGAGGGCTAAACTAATTGGATACAAGAACATTTCCCAAGTATCTCCAGTAAAAACTATTTTTAGGGCTGGTTTTTAATCGAATTGTGTTCTTATGTAAATCTGAGGAACATGCTTACCGAAACACTTTTGAAAGGACGGTCTTTCAAAGTCATAAGAAAACTGTAATCGCTGAGCATTAAACAATAAAACTGACGATGCTTTCTAGGAACAGAGACAGTAAAACCATTCATTTATATTGAGTGGGTTATTACAGAAGCACAATTCCTGGAACAGACAGGTTGTTCTTACATCCAGTTATTAAATAAAACAGCTTGCTAAATGTGTCCTTCCTTCTACTGCATTTCAACAGTGCAACCGCTTAACTGTCAGGATAAAAACCCTCTAAAACAAGGTAGAGCAGTGGATACGAGAGCCAACATAACTAAACTAATACCAGGATTAGTTTAACATTTTACATCTGAGGAGCAACTAGTTAACCTTTAGTGTTCTTCAACCTGTTTGCACAAATCACGGATGTGAGTTGTGGTACCTCAGTTCTACAGCTGGGGGAGTAGCAGGTAAGACAGGCCTTTTAGATCCATTTGAAATAATGAGATCTTCTTCATGAAAAGAAAATTAATTACCAGTTAGAATTTTACTCTGTAATGAGCCCATCTCATGTTTAAAATTGCGTAATATAAAATTACATCAAATTTTATTTCAGGTCACAAAACACCTTCACTATTGGACTGCAGTTATCTTTCCCTTATGAGCAGTAGCTGGTACTTGAAAAGCATTAGGAACACAAAATGAGAGAAATGAAACCCTAAAACATTAACAGTAATGTCCTTTAGCGAACTGTCCATATATAGTAGAGGGCAGCACTGGGATGTTTGCGCGTCAACAGGATACCTAAGAGCTGCTGCACGATACATCGCAGTCCAACACATACATCCAATGCCTCAGAAGCAATCCCCCAAAAATACCGGAAACATTTTTAGATAAAAGGATTTTTCCCCCCCCCCATTTAGTTATTGCCGTAATACCAAGACCTGTGAATGAGTCCGTCCACTTTGTGTCTGTATCATGAAAGGAAAGCAGATAAGAAAAATACAAAAATCCACTATCAAGCTCTGTGAAGGAGCTGGCGAGGGCAAAGTAAAGTTTGGTTGTGTATAAGCTAGGCTGTTTTCTCGTTACAGTACTGTTGAGCTCCAATGTGCGACATTACTGAGCTGCTATCTGTAGGGTCTCTGTGTGGAGCGGGGGTCAGACAGTCAGGCGGTTGTTGGAAGGCTGTAGGGGGCTCCAGGAAGCTGTATGGGCAGATGCTTCCTGTGCGTACTGGCTCTCCTCTTTGCTCATCCCCACTGTACATAGCCGCCGGTGTCTCAGCAGTCTGTCTGTCCGTGAGAAGCTCTGGAGGCAAGGGTTTAGTAGAAGTTAGTGAAATAACATCACTGACACTGCTAACACATGGTTGGGTTTAATGCTCACAAAATAAATTAAGCCGAAACAAACGCTCTCTAACCTGATTGCAGCGATCACACTGGTACGGCTTCTCCCCGCTGTGCACCCTCTTGTGTCGGTCCAGGTGGTAACGCTGAATGAACCGCATATCACACGCATCACAAGCAAATGGCTTCTCTCCTGTAAACAACAAGCCCATTATTTAGCAGCATACCAAGACTCATGGCATATTTGATCTGTTTGAGCCTGTGGGTTTTTTGTAGTTTAATACAAGCAGTGACAGATTCTTAAGGGTGGTCCTCTGGCTGAATAGTGGACTCACAAGTCAGCACACCACCCTGTTTTCCATAAGTAACCCTTAAATGCAAGTGAGGAAGGCCACATTGAAGAGGTGAGCTGTGGGTTCTCACCTGTATGTGTCAGTATGTGTCGCTTGAGGTGGTAGCTACTCCGGAAAGCTCCATAGCAGTGGTCACAGATGAAATTCTTCTGGACTTTCAAGGAACTGTCATCATCGTCCATTTCCATTGTTGGAATAAAATGCTAACAAGAATAACACAATTAGTTTTAAGTGAACTTAACATCAGGATTAGATGTTTGCACTTTTGCATGTTTGCTCATCCTCACCTCGACTTTAACTTTGCTGGAGGATCCTGCTTTTTTGTGCTTCTTCTTGGGCTGCATATTCTGGTTTGCCTGCATGTCCTTTCCATCAGCCAGTCTTGATGAGTGATAGTCCCCGTCTTTTCGGATCAACTTTAGGAGGAAGGAATGGTAGTAGGTTAACTGTTAGTATGCTAGCTTGTAATCAAGCAGCAAACACAATACAGCATTTTAAATATTTCTGTATAATGTAGTTTTAAGTAGATATTAATGTATTTTCCAACAACTACAACTCATCCTGTGGTCATCCATAAGGAGAACCTAATGTGTATATATATAACAAATATAATGTAGGAAAAATAGTTGTAATATTACAAAATGTCTTCATTGGATAAGTTATACTGTTATAAAATATATTAATAAACACTTACAACTTAATTTGAGTGTATTATTAATCATGTTTAAAATGTTTTATAGTGATGATAAATTCTAAATAGGAGGGAGAGGGCACATGTATAATCTTATCAAACAACTCCAATGGACGTTTCCTTTTGAGTCCCACCACAGAATTGGTGCTACCCGTTTCCAGAATGAGTTTTAAGTCTAGTTTATTTCCATCACCATAACATTCGTCTATTAACAGCTCACATTTTGTTCCTATGCAAAGTTTACAAAAGTAGAATGAATAGCTCTAACAGGCTTCCTGAGTGACCCTGCCCAGACTCATTGCCTTCTTACCAGCGGTGGACAGCTCCCGGCTGAGGGGTGGCCCATGTGGCTTTGGTGAGGTTGTTGGTGGTGGACCTGGTGTCCGTGTTGGTTGTGGATTTGCTGCGAGTGGGGTTGGTGGCTCTCGGGACTGGGCCTGTGCCCCTGACCCAAGGGTGACATCATCCTCTTCTGGCCTGGGATGTTGTTGGCTTGCATCAGGGCCATGCTGGACAGCACCGCCTCGCAGCCCAGCAACCCGGCCTGGCAACACAAACAGCAAGTCAGAGCAGAAAGGGGGGGCCGCAGGACTCCTCACAGAGACAAGGAGTCAGGGGACAGAGAGGGAGTCGAGTAATGGGAATAACAGAGAAATGAACTGGCAATCAGGATGGAAATACAAACTAAAAACATGACGGTGATTCTGGAGATGAAGAGACTTCCACTGACCCATTTCATATGGTCTCGAACAGAGTTGTTTGTATGGTGTGTCATCGCCGTGGTTTGAATGCGTGTGTGTTTGGGGGGAACAGAGGGGGCTTCACTTAGGATGAGGGGTAACAGAAGAGACCACACCCACCCAAATCATCAGGGGCCAAAGCCTGAAAGTAGAGTAAAGACAATTTTTCCATGCTGGAATCAGGAGCTGGAAAACCAGACCAATCTAATAAATGTTTCAAATCTGGATATATACGACTAGCAATGTAGGTCCAGCTTTAGTAAGGGCTGTTTATCAGGCAAGACAACCCTAGTGATTTGGTTCACGCCACGTTTCAATGGTTGACAGAAGAAAAAAATGTTGAGAAAAAATAAAGACATCCAATGGGAATAGGTAAACAATGAACAACAAAAGAAAACGTTGTAGATATGATGAATCCCACAAAGGTTTTCATACATGAGGTTATAACAAAACATATAAAAGACACAAATCTAAAAGAAATAGGCTGCTGTTTGAGAGCAGCGAGTGAACTATCAATTACAATTTGATCTACCTTAAATGAAATTGTCAAGGGTATCATAAAATGTGATAAAGGGACGATGTGATGTTTGTTTGACTGATTAAAGGTAAGGGGGGTCCTATAATAGCCCTGGATCTGATGCTGGAAAGCGTAAATAGGTATAGACCTACCATGTAAGACAGTTATGTTCGCTCTTGTAACGTTTCAAAACCAAAGGGTGAATCTTTTGAGGTAACAAAGAGTTCAGGAGTCAGTTAATCATTGTAGAGTGAATTGGATTTCAGGTAATCAAGTCTGGTACTGAGGTTGCGGAATCCCTTAACTCAATGACCGGTGGTGCAATTCTAAAGCATTACATGATAATGAACAAACACCACAAAAGTATTTCCTTGAGATCAATCCTGTATATATAAACAGATTTGATCTCGTCTTTGCATTATGAAATCCTAATTGACTAATAGAGAATACACCATGATCATTTTAGTTTGATGTGTTATGACGTCCAATGGGAAAATGGAAACTGTCAAAAAGAAAACAAAAATCTCAGTAGAAAAGATTGATCAAACAAATGCTTCATGCACAAAATGTGATGAACTACTCTAACATACTGTGGTGTAATAATGATACTTTTTTTTTTAAATATCTCAAATGAATCTGCCGTTTCCGAGCGGCAAGTTCACTGTAAATTACAATTGTTTCTCCCCTAGATTAAATGTTTATGGGCATAATATAATGGAATACAGGCACCATGTGATGTTTCATTTAAACTGATCAAAGCTAAAGTGTGTCCTAATATAACCGTAGAAATGGTACTTCAAAGAATATCCACGCAGATAAGATAAGGTTTTGAATAAGTACTGCCTTATTTCTTAGAAAGTTATATTGTCTTTTATCAAGTTTCAAAACCATGGGGAGAATTATTGAGGTGTCTGAGAGTTCAGTAGTAGCAGTTTATCAGTTAACAGTGAAATCAATTTCATGCAATACAATCTGGCACCTAAGTTGCAGATTCAATGAGTCTTTGAACCCAAAGACCTGCGGTGCAAGTCAAAAGCTGTGCCTGATGATGACCAAACACAGTTTTGTGCTTTTATGTTGTATTTTGTAGTGTATAATGGTGAACATACCGTGCAATGGATTGATTTAAGGATTAAAATACATGACTTTATGGGCTGTTTGTACCTACGTAAAGAGTTACTGAGAAACATTAATTACTTCTTTGATCCTCTAGGATGCTGCCTAGGTTCTATTGTGTTAAATGTACATACACATTTGTAAAAAACGAACTCCTTGGTTAGAAGTAAGTTTATATCCCATCAAAAACTATTCAACATTTTTATTTTATAATTTACCAAGAGAGCTATGGTGGAAAGAAGTGCCTCTCATGGTGTGGCATTAAGCACATGTACAAGGCTTACAATGGTCAGAAACAGCTTGGCCTTTTCACAGAAGTCTTAATTGACGAGAGGGATGTTTGTAAGTATTGCAGTCTTATGTGTTAAATTCATATCAAAGGCGGTGAATACAAATATATATCAGATGTTTACCTTTACAGACCGTGCACAAGGGCTTTGATGGTCAACAAACACTGCTATTCATCACTTAAGTAAAACATGTTTCCATTTATCTTTAAGTTGAATATTAATTGTTATATTTATGTCTAACCGTATGGTCTAAATTATTTTGCAGAAAACATGCATTTGATCACAAGTGGGCTAGCTAGCGACTTAAAAACGAAGGAAATCCTTTTGTAAAAGCGAACCTCTCTGCACAAATGAGCTTTATTAATTAAACGGGAGCCCATTGGGTAATGCAGTTTATATCTGGACCTTTATATATGCAGTTTATATCTGGACACACTATTTAGACGGTGGCTTTTAAAGTGTGCAGCATGCTGAGAGGCTTTGCTGAACACAACATAATAGGCTAACCTGCTAGCTAGCCAGTAGTTGGGTTGTGGGACAACTCTTGTGTGAGAGAACCCCCACCCCCCGCCCCAGACAACACAACAACAGCAGGGCGTGCAGGCTCAGCGCCGACCGCTAAATAACACCTTCCTCCCCGGCTACAGCGCTCACAAACACGCGTGTAGCAGAGTATAAACACGGTCAAACAGCAGCGAGTGACATTCTTTCGCAAATGGACTGCTTACCTTTTGATTTTTAGAGTTTTGTAGGTTATTATTTCTTGTCGCACTTCCAATTTTTTCTCAGTTTACAAACACTGACAGGAAACGCCACCGGAAGAGCTTCTCGGGAAGCGTTGTGATTGGCCAGGCTCCCTGTCACGTGATCGAAGCAGCATGACCCACATTTACGGCCATAATTGTGAGGGAGTGGTGTCCTTTGATTGCACACATCCGAATTTGTTCTGATTTTCTTACACATTATATTATACCGTATTATAACATATGTTGGTATATAACTATATAATATGGTATTTATCATTGATATATATATCAAATCTAATGTTACAATGTGCATTGACCTGCACTATTTTCTATACATTTTTAGTTCAGCACCGGTTTCCGACATAAAAAGGTCTAGAATCATTGAGTTTGCATTTGCCAATATAATAATTAATTATTTATTGTAAACAAATATGTTCCATGTTGCATTATTGGAGAAGCCTGTGACCTAAGATTTTCAACGACATAATTACTCTGTAGCTATGTTAGTTTGACAATAAAGAACCTTGAACCTTGAACCTTCATTTTACATCTAAAAATCAATTCACACAATAAGAAGAATGACATATTTATGGATGCACTTTAGATATGTTTTCAGAACAGCAGTTTTATTCAGTGGATATATTTAAAAAGAATAAGAAACATATATCAATTTGTTTGTTCATTGATTCATAACAGACACATTTTGATCCATGGTCATCAGATTTTAGTATATCATTGTATAATGACAACTGTCTTAATTGAGCAAATCAAATATCTCAATGGTACAGTCAGGCTGTTTGTTATACCTTTCAACATTAAAATACAACGCATAATGCACCACTTCTAAGGTCTAGTCTAGAAAACACTTCTTTCAAGTTGCTTTGTTTACAAGTCATTTCCCAGTCTTTCAATTTCGTCAAGGGAGAAGTCCATATCTTCCTTGGAAACCAGCGTAGAGAGGACAATCATGCGGAAAAAGTTGACCTTGTCTCCCAAAGGTTGGTAGCCCACCATCATCGTGCCTTGCTTTATCATTCGCTCCTTGATGACTGGAGCTACCTATTATCAAGAACAAAAACACACACTGTTTGATTCAGAAGCTCTGCTGAGGTGAATGCTTTAAGATGGTGGCCTTGGTGTTTTATTAACAAAGCATGCAACACAATCATTTAGTCTTTCTGTTCCCAATCCAGTGAGACTTACGTTTGCCAATCTGTCCTGGTAATCTGCATTTCCTTCCTTTCCCCTCATGCTGGGCGGTATAAACCAGAAGCATACATTCAGAAACTCTGGCTGCCCATGGAGAAAAACAAACAGGTACTCTGGGTGAAAACATTTAATCTTCAGTATGATATGATATCAGTATGCTTGAGATATTTACTCACCTCCCACAAAAGATGAAACCCTTCCCTTTTCTTCATTTGCTCCACCAGATACCTGCAAGAGGGATGTTAACAAATAACAATACAATAAAATACAAAGGGGCTTTATTGGCATGACCACCTTTTAAACATAGTATTGCCAAAGCATTCCGCACGAGGCGATATAACAGAATAACATTTTCTGTTCATCTTCATTACAGCTCAACAAACAGATAGACAGCAGTGCTTTTATTTTGTCTCAATAGGATAAGATCAATTCGAATTTCAACTATACTAGGTTTGTGTTTTACTTCAGCTGGATGCCTACCTTACAAGGTTAAACGCTTTGTCTACACGCTCGGCCAAGCCAATGGAGCCAACAGCTTTCCACATCAACCATAGCTTCAGACAGTCAACCTTGCGGCTACACTGTACTGTCTTGTCCCCGACATCCAGATTGACATCATAGAATTTGTCTTGCTGGAAGAGGTAGGTGGCGTTGGCACTGTGGCACTTTTTCAACAAGTTCTGAGGACAAGCACAAGTAAAATACTGTCACTGATTAATACAACGTTAAACTTTATTATGTGTATCAGATAATGATGTAGCCTCAAACCGTTGTATCCTGCAGCAGCAAGGCAGAACACTGTAGGCCAGCCATCAGCATCTTGTGTGGATTCCAGGCTACTGAATTTGCTCTTCACACACACAAACACGAACATTATTCATATTGACCATGTCTGCCTAACTGTGTATCTAGTTGCATCCTTTATAACAGTGAAAGTGTATTTTTATCAGGCATATTAATACCTGGCAACCCCTTTCATCAGATGTCTGTGCTGCTCGGAAAACAGCACACTCCCCCCCCAGGCAGCCTGAAACACAACAAAACAGAAAAAAAATTAAAACTTAAACTTTAGCAAAGACAACAGACGCTTGTCCACTGTCTTAAATTTGTCTCTTTGAGGACCACTCACGTCTACATGCATCCAGACGTTGTGTTTCTCGCAGACATCAGCTATGCGGTCCAGTGGGTCAAACGCACCCCGCACTGTTGTCCCTGATGTGCAGCTCACAAGTAAAGGTACTGCACCCTGATGGAAACAAACTGAAAATGAACACAGCATTCTTGCACTTGTGAATTCAGGTTTGCAGGATATACAAATTGTTTAAACCTATAACTTTCAAATAATCACTGTTAAAACGAATTTAAGGGACAAAAGGGCATGTTAAATATAATCTATTTGAGTGCTTAGTGAATTTACCTGAGATTTTGTCAGCTTTATCTTTTCATCCAGGTCCTCTGGAATAATGCGGCCTCTAAAGCGCACAAAATATAATGGAAAATGTATTATTCTGACTATATAGAACCCTGATTGTCATAGTGTATAGGGCTGAAACCAACAACTATTAATTATTATAGATTTTTAAGTAATCGTCCAGGCTATAAGACGTCCAATCATACCAAAGTATTTTCACATCGTAATGTCTCGAAATTGCTTATTTTATCCGACCAACAGTCTAAAAGATGTCAACATACAGATATACAAAATAAAGGACAACTTTATGTCCCCACATTTAATAAGATGAAAGTAATTTTTTGCCTTAAATTCAAGCATTGATTATTATAATTTGATTTATTATCAATGGTTTCAGCTCTTTTTATAAAAAATACATTACCCTTCATCCACTTTCACCACGGTGATATTGTCTGTCCCAATGCCCAGAAAGGCAGCCCCTTTCTTCACAGAGTAATGGCTCTGGAAAAACAAACATATTTATGTAGAGACAACACAGTAGCGACAGTGTGATCCTCTGATACATTTTCAATCTCCACAGCGACATAAACTCCTCAAGCATGCAGTGTTTAACAGCTTTTCCTGACCTCGGCAGATGTAAAGATGGTAAGCCGTGGGACAGCCCACAGACCCTGGCTTTTGACCTCTGGGAAAAGTCGGTAGCGTGCGAGGTTCATGGCAAACATGTTAGAGGTAGACCCCCCAGGGCAGAAAATACCATCTCCTTCTGTCCAGCCAACCAGCTGCCGCAGTGATCTTAAAACCTCAGTCTCCATCAGCACAAACACTGGGGCCACCTCATAGGTAAAGCTGCAATTAACACACAAAAGAAGTTGTATTTCCTACTGTATTTTTACATAATTTATTAACTTAACGCCAAAATTCATTTTATTTAGATTCTTACAGGTTAGTGTTGAGAGCCTCACTGAGGAATCGTCCAGCCAGGGCATGATAGTCCACTCCTGCAAACAGCTGATTAAAGAAACGTGGGTGACCTGGAAGAAACAAGCAAAGTCTCATCATTACAGAAAATAAGGTTTACTAAACATGTAAATGTCTCTGCTGTCTCTGGCAGGCTCACTTGTCTTGATGCTGTACTTGGCAACATCTTTTACTCTCTGTAGGAGCCTCTGTTGTGGCTCCCCCTCCGCCCTGAGCTCCAAATCCAGCAGCAGAGCCAGATCTTCAGGCCCTTTCCACTCACAGACCTGCAGGAAGAACACATGGACTTTTAGTTTTTGCTCAGAGAACTCACTGTAATCTGACACCATTGTCAATTTAGGCCACCTTCTGCTTGACGTCTGTGCCCTTGCAGAGAACCTCCTCTATAATTATTTTGAAGGCTTCATTCAAGAAGAGTTGGCCCTCTGAATGGTCAATGAGAGGCTCATTTATGTCACGGAGATTAGCTGGATCCTGCCCATCTGCTGTTAGGAGAGAAGTTGAACATTTAAAAAATAATTCAAACATGAATAAACATGCATAGCACAATGTACTTACATGAGAGTGGAAACATGTTTGCCATTTCCACGCTTTCCAAGTTGGTGAATCTCTACCCCTTTGCTTGGCTCTACTGACAAGGCAGACAGCAGTAACTGTCTAAAAAGCAAAGGCAGAGTGAGGAACAAAAGAAGGGGGAGGTAGTTGACCTTTGTCCCAATGAAGTTACCTAATGTTGTCAAAGAAAAGGGGGAAGGAGGAGAATAAAACTCTTTTTCTCCTCGTGTAAACGGCGCCTCAGGCGCCGTTTACACGAGGAGAAAACTGCTTGTATCTGCATAGTTTCGCGTGCGTATAGCCCTATTATTTACACGAGGCCGATAGAAACTGACCCCACAAACGATAACGGGTCCCAAGGTGGATAGATTTGCAAACGAAACGCTCTGGGGGGTCAACCGAGTCCGTGTAATCACCTCTATACGAATATTTCCTGGAAAAATAGGATAGCCCCGCCTCTCCTGCTCACTGCTGTACTAGCAACTATCAAAAATAGCTGTGTTAATTAAACGCACAAGGGGTTCTTGAATGAAATAATATTATAAAAGGCAAACCAGAATTGTTAACGCCCAATATACTACTTAAACAAAATAAACAGAGTCAGATTTCATGCATTGATCCATTATATTGACAAAGGTGCATCTCACCCGGTGTTTGTAGAGAATATCTCTCTTTCTGAGCCGTCCTCTCGATGCAATATCCACAGAGACGTGCTTCTTGGTTTCTTTCAGTTAACTTCCTCGTTGCATTTATCCATATGCTGAGGAAATGACTATATCCCGCTGAATACCAGCAATCGCCACACACACTGACTTCCTCCTGTCAGTAGCTACTGCTAGTGCTACTGCTACTGACCATGCAGATATTAGTGCAAAAATATACAGCTCCTCTACCACAACCATCAGCAACAACAGATTCGGTTTCTTTCAGTTTCTTTCAGCTTCAGTTTCAGTTTCAGGGCTTAAACAGAAGGGTAGCCATGGCAACATTGCTGCGGGGCTGCTCCAGGCTGCTCTTCTTCGCGGCTTTTGGTGTATTTTGGCGGAAGTTACAGCGCCACTTACAGTCCCAGCATATGTACTACAGCGTTTCCAGCGGCCTCGTTTAAACAGACACGTTAAATGAAACAAATGCATGTGAACGGAAGACTTTTTTGAATACGCATACTGTGCATAAACGCAAATGGTCCCGTGTGAGCGGGGCCTCGTCAGCAAATGTGATACAAGTTTATTAAGTGTAGTTGTGAAACATAGGCACTACTATTCTTTCCTACTTTGCATGATGACATGAGTTGCTATCCCAACAGATACACTAAGAAATAAGGAACATTTGTTTAAAAATAACAATATATAAAGATCAAGAAGGAATACATCAGCATAACTGTTGTGACACCTAATAGTCTGCTCACTTGGACAAAATACAATTTCTCCAAAAAACTGAAGATGAATAAAAAGACGAGTTAAGCAAAACAGGACATAAAGCAATAGAAACAAGATTTCATTAACTTGTTTAAATTACCTAGAGTATTTATTTACATTCAACTAAAATGAGCACAATTCTGTTGTTTGTCTTCTCCTTGGACTGGAAGGAGAATAAAACCCACACATTGATACAATAAACAGAAAAAGAAAGAAAAAACTCTTACTTAGATATTTCATGAACAAAAACTAAGTTTCTATATCATTACTTTTACAGAAAGGTAATATTAGTTGATCATTAAACTTAGCCAAATATCAATACCCTTTACCCTTGGACCCAGTCCAACAGAAATACAATAGATGTTGTGTGTAGGCTACATATAATAGCTATATATAAATCAAAACACATATGAAGAACAAAATAAGTCACTGGTACTTATTGGCAATGTGGGGTGATTTAACAAAGTACTAAGTCTTCAAGTGGTTTTTCTGATATGGAAAATATGATGGATGTCTATATGATGGAACACTTAAGTTCCCAGTAAAAACAGTGTCTCGGTCACAGTACCAGTCATTGAAGGCCTCATTTAATCTCCAACAGGAAGTCAATGCTTTCAGGTGGCAGCGCCCAGTCTCCCTGACTGAGCAGCGAGTGCAGGTTCGCAGCAGTGGCTTTTTCCCTCTGACAGGTGCTCCAGTAGCGCAGCATGGCAAACACTCGCTCCACATGAATTGAGTTGTCCTCTTCAATCTGTTCCATCTTCACAGTAGAGATTTCCAGAGCCAGTCTGCCAATCTCCCTCCAAGATCTGCCAATGGTACGAGCCACGGTCATCAGCTGCTTCTCCTGAACCAAGCAAGAGCCTGTGCAATGAGAGACACATCAGGCATTGGTCAAGGTCTCTACAATGTGTTAAGGTGAATATCTTTGTATTGCTTCCCCTTATTGACCTCATGTAAAAAGAAATATGCAACTAGTGCCCTGAGTGATCTACCAGGGAAGAACACACTTCCCTACATGCTACAAACCCCCACTACTTACATCTTGTGCTCCTTATTATTCTATCTCCCCTGCCCCTCAGTCAGCCTGACACCCACCTTTTTTGCAGATCTGTTTGGATGGAATGATCTCTTGTAGGTCAGGAGTTTCTCTCTTTCTTTTAATTATTCCTTGTCAATAGAGAAACGTTTTATATTTAACATGGAAATCTAACAGAATATCAATACTGAATACTGAACAGACTTCGTCCTACCTGAAGACACTGTGTTTATGTCCAAATCCTTAATAAAGCAAAGCATTGGGAAGGTTTCCTGCAGGGCGTGTTCGTTCAGCAGTTTCAGTAGACCCCGCGCTGCTTCAGGCCCTCTTTGGATGATGAGATCCAACAGGTCAGTCACCTTCTCACTAGGAAAACGGCATGCTTTCACCTGCTGGTAGCCGTGAACAGACAGCAGGCAGCGAGAGTCTGCATGCTGCAGGACAAAATCAGCATCGGCGCTTAGAATTTCTATTAGCTTGACCTTCAGGCTTCTGAGTAGCTGGATTTCTGCTGCCGGTTCCTCAGCCATGTCTGAATGTTACTTCAATGAGAAAATAAAAAAAGTGTTGATCTATCATTGAAATGCTGAAAATTCTGAAATATTTGCAAAACAAGTATTGAATTCATTGTTGGAGTTGTAGCCACTGGTAGCCAGTAATGAGAGCAGAGAGCGGTTGAGTGTTGAAAAACTGTCGGGCTGCTGCATTCTGGATGAGCTGCAGAGGATGGACAGCACTTGCAGATAGACAAAGCAGCAAGGAGTTAGAGAAGTCAAGACAAGGCGTGAGATGACACAAGCCGGGACCAGAACCTGCGTTAAGACACTTCTGGGTCAGTATCCTCCTGATGTTGTAAAGAGGGTTTCAGCACGAGTAACTTTAAGCAGCGATGTTGGCAGAGAAGGACAGTTTGTTGTCCAGTGTCCCACCCAGAAAACTTGCAGAACTCAGTGTTGTGAGTTGCTGACAGGCAGTTATACAGGCTGACTGTGACAGGGTTTTAGGTGTAGGGGAGTGTGTGGGAAGGGGAGAGCGGACAGAGTGATGAGGATATGTGCGATGCATGTATTATCTACGGGATAACATATGAACAGGAACAGAGAGTATGCACATATCTGAACAGGGAGAGGGAAGCAAAAGCACACATAAGATACCTAACAGAGTCAAAGTAGAGTTGGCCTCCACTCCGACTCCTACAAGACTCCTTTGTCTTTATCTGCCGGTTAAAGAAAATGCTCGTTTATAGGGACACCAGGCTTGATAACTCACTTGGCTAACTTTGCTATAGCCATAACACTGAGGTGATACAATGAATGAATCCAATTTAATGCAATGGCCCACAATATAAACTGCCACACTTCACACTCTAATCAGGAACATGTAGGTCGACTTTTAGAAGTCCCGAAAAAGCTCCACTGAAGAAACCAAATTTTTCGGAATGTGAACACAATTTTAAACAAAGAACAGATTTTACACACAGCACACTAAAATGGTAACATGGTAAATTGGCTGGATTTATATAGCGCTTTTCTAGTCTTTAAGACTCTTTAGACGCTTTGTTACAAGTCAGCCTTCACACACATTCATACAGAGGGAGCCTTACAAGGGGCTACCTGCTCAGGGATACTGACATTCACACACACTCACCATTGGCCATTCAATCAGAAGCAACATAAAAGAAAGAGCTTTGCAAAACAGAAAATATACTCAGCAAGCAGTCAAGCAGTAAGTTCCTACTTAAGTATGAATTGCAAAATGTGAGATTAGCCTAAAACTGAAGGTGATGGCCAGCAATACAAACTTCCACAATTCAGTGTGAGTGGAATTTCTGAAGCCCCAGGAAGCTCTAGGAGCCAAGACCCCTCCTTTTCGTAACTTAAACACAATTTGAACCAAAGAACACATTTACACATAGCACACTAAAAGAAAGAAGCAAACACAACATCAAATATTCTCAGCATTGACTTTAAGCAGTCAGGCAGTAGGTTCCTCCAAGTCAAAATGCACACTTAACGGATACTATTGATAGGTAATGACATGTTATCACCATTACATCCACAGTAATGTTCTGCCAAATACTGTGTAAAATTCGCTTGTTGCTGATTAGTTTAGCTACACTTTTAAAAGACAGCGGATGGGGTTTAAATCCTGAAACATTGCATTTGCCTTTTTTACAACACACATGTGTGAGAAATGACCAAGAATACTTTTGAAGTTATTTTCTTTGTTGAAATAAAAAAGTCAATGAATAGATTGGATAACTGTTAATGGATAACAGGACTTCTTCACTTAGTCCTAATGGAATTTTTCTTGGTAACACTTTCAAGGCCATTGTAGCAAGTCCCTAACAATGATTTGTAAATGATTTACAAAAAGCCACTCTATCAAGGAAGATTAAGATGCTTTCTTTGAATACGACTAGCCGACTAATTGTTTGGGAAAGTTAATAGCTTTGGTCCTGAAGAATGTGAAGTTTTATAAGAAACACATATTGTCCTTCTAAGATTAAGTAGGTTTTATAATGCTGTATTAATCTAAAGCAAATCAACAGAACTTTCTATAACAATATGTTTATTTCTTATGATTTAAAAACAACATTATTAACCGGTATATTCTAAAACTACGTTATTAACAGTATTTATGTCAGCAGTACCATGCAGTACATATGCATCAAGTACAAGTCGACTTTATATAACAGCATATAGTACCATAAGACTCTTACCATTTATTGTAACAGCTGGAGTAACAACACGATTACCAAAAAAGAGTAATTTTCAAACAGACGGAAAACATTTCTTGTGTTTACATGCTGAGACGCTTTTCCTTCTCCGTACTTTCTAAGTTAGACTGCAGCATCTTTGTGTGCTTCCATCCAGTGGACGGATGACTTAACTGCAGGAAGGTGCCATGGTCGTGGTGATTTGGTGACATCTGGTGGAAAGGAAAATATCATCATAATAACACAATGTTTAAGCAAAGATAAGACGTTATTGATTGACATGTTGTAAGCAGAACAGACACCGACTCAGAGAAAAAAGGTTCAGAATCAAGCAAAAATAAAAAATGAGAGATATTTGGAGAGAAAAGTGAAAAGGGACTTAAAAGGTTTGAGCAAAAATATGTCTATTGCCATCTATTTAGATAAAATCATTTGTTTAACCATAACTAAATGGATTCTCTTCTTCTCTGCGCTCTTCCTCAAAACTAGAAGCTTAATCATTTATGTTGACTTCGAGAAACGTGTTGTTGTTCATACTGTGGAAGGGAAATGCTGTTAACATGGAAATAAATATTTGATTGATCTGTTCGAGCAGAAAATATTCACTTAATGAATTCCAAACAGAAGGTGTGTTTTCAGGAACATGCAGGGCCATGTGAATGATGTGGAATACACAGTGCATCTGAACTTAGTGTATCATTTCCTGCCATGGCCTCTGACTGTTAGCGGATGAAAATTATCAGCCGCCACTGGTCACACGTCTGCTTAGCCTGTTTACTCAGCCTCAGCTCTGGGAAATGACAAATCAATATGTTATTCCTGGACAGATATTTGCTTTGTGTGAGAGGTAAAGCCTCTGGAGCCCATTTCATCCACACACAGTATACACTCTGAGTCCCTGTGTGTGTATTAGCTGTCTGAATAAATCCAGAAGTCTCTCTGCATACAGTAGGTGGAAAGTAGAGAGAATCACCATTTATTCCTATTGTTTATTCTTACCACCCAGGTGAGACTGCTGTTTCAAAGAGGAATGCACATTCATCTATCTATCTATCTATATATATATATATATATATATATATATATATATATATAAGTAGAGTCCATTTACTATCATGTACTTTTAATGATTGTATTATGCTTTAAATCTTCATTATGTTCAGAAGATACATTGTGAAAACTAAGACAAATCTCAAACGCACTGATCTTATCTAAAAGAAAATACACATGTTGACCCTATGCATTGCAATCTGCTGTGTAATGTGCCTGTGAAATGTGCACTTAGTCATATTGCATTAAAATGAGTGCAACACAAGTGGAGCATATTCTATATGGAAGATGAAAATGAACTTTCTCTGCCGCTCATCGAGCACGGACCCACTCATACCCTTGTGCTTTTCAGGCCCCATCACACTCTCTGTCATGTGCTAAACTCCATTTATATGTGCATGCTAGTGGTGGATGGTATAATAGCTTGGACGCTCCACGGTGCTAATAGCTTGGACGCTCCACGGTGCTGATGGAGAATAATGCAGTTTCCTTATGAATGGCTCTGGCTCTATTCTGTGTGTGTGTGTGTGTGTGTGTGTGTGTGTGTGTGTGTGTGTGTGTGTGTGTGTGTGTGTGTGTGTGTGTGTGTGTGTGTGTGTGTGTGTGTGTGTGTGTGTGTGTGTGTGTGTGTGTGTGTGTGTGTGTGTGTGTGTGTGTGTGTGTGTGTGTGTGTGTGTGTGTGTGTGTGTGTGTGTGTGCCTAGCATTACTATCCTTGTGGCGACCTAAATCTGTTTACACAGTCACGTGTGGGGACTGGCTTCCCTTATGGGGACAAAATGGAGGGGAATCATTAATTTTAGGGTGAAGACTTGGTTAGGGTTAGGGTTAGGGTTAGGGTTAGGAGTAGGGTAAGGGTAAGGGTTAGGTTTAGGCATGTGTTGGTTATGGTTAAGGTTAGGATAAGTCTCCAGCAAATGCATCTAAGTCAATGTAATGAAGTAATGTATACATGGTATCTGTGTGTGTGTGTGTGTGTATGTGTGTTTTTTAAATGTATGCATGTATTCAATTTAAGAGAGAGCCAGCGCAGCGTCTTATGCCCCCACGCCTTAACAGATAAATTATATTTACATGTAAAGTGACAGACATGGAAAATGGCTCTTACTGACGGTCTTTAGCACTCTCAACCGAAACAAAATTGAGCTTTATGTACATTTGTAAGGTTTACATTTGGCTTTTTTACACAATACATAGTGTAAACAAAGATACAAATGTGCACATGAACATAATTCCTTTACAAGGAAGCAATGGTAAAAATCTTCTCTATAAGAATCCACCTAACAAAAAGCTTTAGATGTAAAAATGTATAAAAGGTCCTCTCAGAACTTGTATGGTTTTATGCTCCGAAACAGGCTTAATCTTTTTGTATAAATAGACTCTCTTCAGTAGAGTCTGTCTGTATTTGCTGTAGCTGACCGTAGTTCAGCTGGGCCTGCACAGCACACAGGGGCCTTTGAGAGCTGACCCCCCACTCTCAGGGTGAATGGAGCAGCAGCAAGGGGACAGCCATGCATTTGAGTGACTCTGACATGTCTGTTTGTTTAACATGCATTATATATGAAAGATCAGAGTGAAAGAAGGAAGGAGCATGGGAGCAGGGCAGCAGAACAGAGAGAGGGATGAAGGGAGAGACGCCATTGAAAAGACAGACACTGGGAAGACGGTGAGAGAGGGGGCAAAGGGAAGCGGCTGTTTACAGTTGAGTGGACACATATTGTAGGTGGAAAGCTTCAGTTTCCTGCAATAACAGGGCTACATTTGGTTTTATGAAGGAAGGAGTAAAGTCAAGAACAGAAAAGTACAAAAGAGATTTCTGTAAGGCTCAACTGTAAGGATATTATCCTCACCATTAGAGAAAAGAGGTTGTCATATAGTACAAGGCAGGTCTGACCATCAATTATCATTCAGTGTGTCATATACATTCTTTCTGATTAAATATACATGAAGATGTTGTTCATTATGGGATGGAGACGGTTTGCAGAAGACTTATAGGTTGAGCCTGTAATGTAATTGACGGGACCATTAACGCTGATAGAAGTGTAAATAATTTAAGCGTGTGTGCTCCTCATCAGCCTTACTTGAGAGAGGAAACTGCAAATGCCAAACAGAAAGGCATTTTCCGTCCTTTAAGTCTAATGAATGGAAAAGACAGTGAGTCTGACTGACATACACATATTCAGACTGCATTAAAGCTTCACATGGAGGAGCTGCTGGAGGGTGTGTGTATTGCGGAGGCTGATAGGTATGCAGGAGACTGTAAGAGAATTACAGTTGATGTAAACACGCCATACTAACCTGCTGTAATTCAATGAAGTCAGTGCTATGTCTTGATCCTTCATCAACCATTTAAATCTGCATCATCACATCAAATGCAAAGAAACAAAAAAGGGGAGAGAGCAAATTGATGTTTGTCCAATGCAGGGAGAGTTGACCTCTAGAGGGAGCTCTTATCATTCTAAAGTATTATGTGAGTGCTTTCAGTCCCTCCTCACACAGCTCCCCATTTAAACATATGTATCATTCCAGCCATGAAGCTCAGACATGCATCGACCTTACAGCATATCTGTTCTTGGACAACACAAATACATTAAAAGATGGAATACCAGGTTTCTTGAGTGCCCAGAAGAAAACTTGCAGATTTGGAGTTTGGTCTGTCATAAACCATGTCTCTGTTACCTCTGTGTAAGAACTGAAGTGACACTGTGCTTCTGAGGTCTGAATCTGAAAGTGAAATGTTTTCTGAGGACATCACACTTAACCTTTTGATCCAAGCGAGTCACTGTTACCCACTGTCACACCGACTGAACATCAACTAACATCTTGAAATGCATTTAAAGTCCTTGTGGATTTGCAGCAACATCAAAAGTAATGACAACACTGGCTCAAAATACAAGGAAAAGCTGAGTGGAATATCTTCCCAATGTTGTTCTGTTTCCAATGAGACATTTTAGTGAAGAGGTGTTACTTAAGTGAATTGGGATATATCATTTAAACAAATAGAGCAGTCTTCAACTCATAGCTGTTTTCTCTTCTGCAATTCAAAGCTAATTGCACCTTAAATCTACTAAGTTTGTATGTATGTCTGTATTAGCTTTTTTGTGTTCACATTCCCAGGTGTGCCGTCTTTGAATAAAGTATTTGATATCATCTCATGTGTTTAGCACAGCTTGCCCACAGTTTGGACGACATGTGTCACTCACGCTACTGTTACAACGTATGATCATTGGGTTGATCGCCATCTATAATAGGTAGTGAGAGGTTTTTTAGATGAGGTCAGATACAGATAAAATTAAAACCAGAAAGATATATATTGCAAACATGCCTGTGGACTGCACACACAATGTACTGCATACTGTATACAAATGTATTTGAATTGTTAATACAGGTTGCAATCTCCTGCAATGAGCTAAAAAGTTTACAGAATTCATGATTTACTATTGAAGTACTACAGAGGCAGAAAGTAATATACAGAAAATAGAAGGGAATTATTATTGAACCGACTGCTTGCATTGCCTTCAGCTATATGTCCTTGTGTTTCATTAGGTTTTCAGGCTTAAATTATCATCAGTGTTCATCGTCAACTGAAAGAATCCCAGGAACTTCATTGATCGGATCAATAAGGAGATAACAGTGCTGTTTGTGAGAAAATCAAAGTCCATGCTGTACGTTTCTTTGCCTTCATAAAAATTATATGACCAACCAAATTGTGTTCAAATTTTCCCGTCACCTACCACCATTACACCCAGACACTCATTTATGTTGCACTTATAAACCTCTTAGTATTGGTTAAACAGCTTATCCTGACTTGGTTAAAGAAGACCAATGGATTCCTCGGTATTACCTTCAACAAATGATGGTCTAGCTACAGTAAGTTCATTAAAGGAAAACAGGTGGATGACATTACAGGGATTAATGTATGTGTGAGTGTGTATGCTGTAAGTATGTGCGTACATCCAAAGCTTCGAGGCGGTTCTTCTGTTTCTGTGATTTCAAGTGTTTGTGACAGCCTGCTGTGTTTTCACAGTATATTGGTGTGAATGTGTGTTTGAGCCTGGGTGTATGTGTGTGTATAATAC